CACCCAGAAAGAAAGTTTTAAATGCTTTAGTGAAACCAAGAAGATAATGCCTGAAGAAACACCTGAAGAAGAGTCTATAACAATGAAAGACCACCCACAAAGAACAAAATGAAGAAGGAAAGTAAGAGAGGTGTGGCTCTTTGAATCCTTCAGTGAAACACTTAAATGTGATGCTTAAATACACCTAAATAAGAGTCAATGACAATGATAGACCATCCAAAAGGAAGAAAAAAAGAAGAGAAGAACAAAAGAAAGAAAGAAAGGTGAAGCTCTTTGAATGCACCAGTGAAACCCAGAAAGTAACATTTTAATAAAGGGACACCTGAAGAAGAGTCTATGAGAATGACAGGCTTTCTAGAAAGAAAGAAAGAAAGAAAGAAAGGCTCTCTGAACCCCCCAGAAACACCCTGAAGGTACTGCTTAAAGAAGAGTCCAGTAGGATGATAGATCATCTAGCTCATATAGAGCACGAGTCAAGTACAGCAGTCACAATTGTACCCCTGTTTCCTCTGGAGGCTTGGCAGCAAAAGTTCTGCACAGGCCCCGGTGGAAGGCGCTTCGCTGCTGCGACCCAGATATGGCCTAACTTAGCGGCTTAGCTGCTTTAAAAGTGTCCTCCATTCACATTGACCCAGAATCTGACGGTCATTTTGCGCATGGACAAAAGAGGACACTCCTGTCTTCATGAGCCATGGCTTTACCTTTAGCAGAGGCCAGCAAAGCACAGAGAGCTAACAGTAAGACAACTGCAGTGCCCTGAGGTGTGTGTGTGCGTGTTTAGGTGAGAGTGTGTACACCGATTCCGAGGGGGGTGGCATGGGGGGGGGGTTTAATCAAGAACTAAAAACCTAATGTGACAGCCACTGCAACCTAGTAATTGACTTCCTCCCTGGAATAAGCATTTCCATTAACAAACCTGCAAGGTCAATGATACGGCCCAAAATGCTATTTTCAGCTCCCTGTTTCTCACCCGTCTGACTCAGGGAAGCCACCCGGCTGGTTTCGCTTGCTTTGGACTTCATCCGTAGCCGTTCCCGTCATGCAGATACACAGATCTGACTACACGCAGAACAAGACACAAGACGTCAGGTCCGAAAATGCCAGAGTTGTCAGCAGCAGCCCTTTAATCTTCCCTCAGACTGACATGAGATCAGTGGCTTCGTGTCTCTCTCTGACTGAGAGATGAAGGAGAGACAGGGCTGCTGAAGCAGGGACAGCTGAAGAAGAGCACAGAGATATCAGAGGCGTCCAGTGCGTGGGAAACAGCATGCTGCAGACTGACCACAGCAGATATCGCACAGATATTACAGGTTACAGGAACGCAAATTAGCAGGGGTTTGATTGCAAATCTTCAGGAAATTATAATTCTATGAGAATTTTAGTTTTGCCAAAAGGATGAGTACACAAGTACATTCTTTATTGGATGTCATCATAACAGTTATAGTGAATTATTTTACCAAGAGTTGTGGTTCTAAGATCTGATTGGCTGAGCAATGTTTATGTTTGTAAAATACTCCATATTGATACAGTACTGTGCAAAAGTCAGAGACCAGCCTTCATTTACTCAATTTCCAGTCAAAACAGTCATTAAGTACAAGTTATTCATTTTCCAGGATATATCTCTGAGGAGATTAGTTATAAAACATGGGAGGGCGGGGGGAATACAGAAACTGGGACACCTAACAACCATGCAAACAGTGAAAAGTACTTAAAGCTTTCATCTTTGAGAGAGAGGAGAAAACCAAGCTCCACTTTTGCTTCAGACCTGAAAAATCCACAGGCGTTTCTGTCCATCCTTCTACTGTGAGAAGACACCTCGGTGTAAGAGGAAGGAAGTCCTTATCCCTTTGAAAAACTGAAAGACAGTCTTCTGAAAGAAATGAAAGCTGTATTAAAAGGCAAAGAATGGACATACTAAATACTTAGAAAATATTATTTTATTAAGTTGTTGACAATTCTGTGTAATTTTCTTTTAAACACATTTTTCTGACACTGAAAAATGAATAATTTGCACTTAATGGCTGTTTTGACTGGGATTTAAATAATTTAAGAATGGTCTTTGGTTTTTGGACATTATAAAATTAATGCAGTTGCATAGCCACCTTCAATTGTCAACGGTTTTTTACACACAGCTATAAAGAGACTTAGTGCATGGAATTCCATTAATAGGGACTTTCACTTAATACTTTATGCATAATTCAATCTTTAAGATGTAAACAAAGTCATTCATAGTGATTTAATGAGAAATGATCCATTCTAGACAAACAGAACTGTTCATAGTGGTGGTGAAAAGAACTAGATGTCCAGTTATAAAACCTTTATATTACATTAAATGACTGTAAATATGCTGCCACATGCCAGAGACACTGTTTTATTGTAGTTTGGAGAAGGTTTTGGCCTAAAATGTATTTTTTAAAATCCATTCATAGTGGAGTGGTTCATGCAGGGCGCTGTGAGGTAAGTAGTCCCCAAAGAAAATGTAGATTTTCAGATTTACCTCTGTTTTACTGTTGTCAACATTACATGTAAAATGTGCAAGTTCACCAGTCATTCTGGATAAAGTGGCTTTACTTGTGTAGACACCACTGTAAAGAAATCAGAGTCTGTAAGATTATCTACATTTAACCTTTTCATGTCAAACCACTCTGAATGACTTTGTTTACTCTCATTGTTTGAATTATGTGGAAAGTCAGTGGAATTTCACTTAATATTGTGTTCATACCCTGATGTTCATGTTTCTCTTAGCAGACCCATGTTAGAGCACATTTTGTTTCACACCCCACCACCACCACTGTTCCACTCCAGAACTCCCAAGTCCCAGTGAGGCCCAAAAAATCCAGAAAATCCCCAGAAGTAAGGGCTTGTAATAGGAGCGGTCAAACGTGGTTAATAAATGACACCCTAAAAACAGCACAGCAGACCCTTCTCTCAGTCTCCTCATTGAGCCTTAACTAATAACGTAGCTAGGAGCAGCCTGTTGCTAGGTAACCTCCTCACAGCATGTTTCTCTCTCTCTCTCTCTCTCTCTTTCTGCCCCTGACGGAGGTTCTGGGTCCTGAGTAACAAACAGCTCCTCTGTTGCCCTGTCTGATTTCCCATTTCTCTATCTCTCTTTTTCTCTGGACAGAACAGAGCAAAAGGTTTGTTTTATGAGTTTAATCTAACAGGGAGGTGTCAGACTGTCTACACTCCTCCATAAGCGGACTACTGAGCTTTCCCCCACAGGACTCACAAAATGGAAGCATTATCTACAAGCGTTGGACTGGCTGCTGGACAGCTTTGTGGAGATGCGCATGGGACGGGGTGCATCCTTTTGGCCTCAATGATAGAATTTAGTAAATTTATAGAATTACATCAAATATCCATTGTAGGCCTTGATCGCATTCAGCTCTTTTGTTGAAAGGGTGGAGACCAGCAAATAGAGAGCTACAATAAATATTTGATGAAGTTTTATCATTGACACCTTTACCAAACAAAATCATTTGAATCATTCGTAGGCCCCGATTAAAAGTTATTTCCTCTGCTCATATATGTTAAGACTACCACGTTTTTGATTCATGATCCACAAAAGAGTTTCTTAGATGATTGTACTCCACAACAGATTTTTTAAAATTATTTAATTATGCATCATCAACTATTTTTAACACCTATAAAATATTCAAACACTTAGATAGGATTTGATAGAATGTTATAAAATAAAAAGATTCACAGCCTTACAGTGCAATATGAAAGTCATGCGAGGCCACAGCCCTATTCTTCACCTCTGAATCAAGCAGCAGATGTTGGGGGGCAGGGTTTTGGTGCAGTGTAGTAAAGTGTCGTTCACACTGGTGTTTCAGTTTTCCTGAGATGTGAAGAAGGTGATAAAGCAGGCTTCACACCTTTCAGAGGGAAACATTCTGTCTAAAACAAAGGCATAGAAAAGAATCATAATTGGTGATGTACAATTACCATTTACGTGGCTGGCATGGGAATAGTGATAGACTGACACACTGTGCAGGGTTGTTGGACCAACATCATCTACACAGCGGGGTCATCAGAAAGTAACCCTTACCGTGATCCCATCACAAAAGTCAAAAAAAGAAACAAGTGCTGTGGACTGAAGTAAAAACACAATGCTGCAATCGCCAAAGGTATGCTTGGAGCAGCATTTGATGAAAGGAACACCTTGCCAGCTCTAAGGCATGTTGGTGATCTGTTATGCTTTGGGGGTGTTTGGCAGCCAGTGGCACAGAAAATGTTGAGGGGACAGAAAAAAGGATTCTACTAAATATGAACAAATCCTGGGAGCTAGTGTCCAACAGTCAGTGAAAAAACTGATAAAAATAGGTTTGACATTACAAGAAGATGATGATCCCAAATATGCATTCAAAGCATTCTTAAACCACTTAATGAAACAAAACAGATTAAGGTTTTGAAACGTGCAAAACAATGTCATAAGAAAACTTGCAAATCTTTTTTTCTTACCCTTTTTTTCAGAGGAAAAAACCTTAACTTTGATGTAAATTAATATCAAGAGTTTATTCCAGTGATTTTGGACTACCACCATTGGTGTATCCATTATAAGGTATTCACATAATATAAAATAGTGTTTTCAAATTGTTTACAAAAAACTAATACTTAAAAACTGGAAAAATGGGTTTACAAGGTTTGGATATGACAGCGATGATAAGTAATCTGTATGAGTGCAATCACTTATGTGCTGCTGAGCACAGTCCACAGCAGTGTTTGCATTCAAACCTTATCTTGGCACGCTGTCAACAAAATGAAAATGCCTGCAGAAAATAAGCACACGGATATGCCCTCTGCCCCACAATGCGCTATATTCACAGTCGACCCAACAGACTAGCCTGAATACTTGGCTAGTGTCTGAGCTCCAGCATCGGTCTCTGGAGGAAATGGCAGCGAGGCTCATTGGTAGTGCAAGTGCATCGTAACGATGGGCTACTGCAGCACCTGCAACCCTTAGCTACAATCACTGTTTTCATCTCTCTTTGCAGTGAAGAACTGCTCCTACTTCAAACACTTCACATCAGGGGAGGAGGCCGAAGTGTTCGAAGTCAAGACTCAAAAAGGTAAGTGGCCCTTCTACTTCAACCTTGCCTCACGCAAGGTACCTTATGGACACTGTACATCAAAGTAGTGAAACATAGCCCCACACACTGATCTGAGACTAGTTCCACCATTTTATTATCTCATGCTTAAGATAAGGATTTGAGGAGAGAAGGCTGATCTTAGAACAGCATTAAGACGGAAGCGTCTGCCCGGAGCTGTCAAAGCGGTGGAGGACGTGGAAACATGAAGATGAAGGGCTGAAGTGCATACTAAAGTGCTTCAAAGAGTTTTGCCACAGGCTGCTTCAAAACTAGATCCTCACACACTTTGGCATGTGTGGGCATAAGGAGCATATAAAAGGCACATAAAAATCCTATTTATTTGCTCAGTTTAACATATTGAGAAAAAATAAAATCTAAAATATGCCAGAACTTTTGCACAGGCTATATTTTATGCTTTTAAATTTCAGAAAATAAACAGTATTGTGCATTAAAATGTGCAGAAGTGTGTTCTTTGTAGAGGAGGAGCTATTTTCATTTAAAAAAACTACAAAATATAATTTGACCAGGTATGTCCAAACATTTACAAACAACTGCATATAGAAACTAAGCAACAGAAACAGCCTGGTTTGAATTCATTGTTTTTGTGAGGTCACGGAAAGTTATAAGGAGTGTTTCAGCCTGGAGTGATTTCCAAATGAGTCACAATACAGGGCAGTCAATCACAACAAAGGTGAGTTACATATATCTGTCTTATAGGCATCTTACAGCCTGTTTTATTCTAAACATTAAAGAGAGGTTGGAAAATGGTCACTTAAAAGGGAATTAAGATTGTTTTTGATACATACAACCACATACGTCTAAAAATAACTTCATGGAAACAAGGACACATTGTCAGTAGCTGCGTTCCAAAGCCTAGGCTACATCCGAGGTAGGATGGGTCCTCCGTAGGACTGTCCTATGAAGACTCCTCCCTAGTAGCCTATTGGTCACACAAATGGAGCAGTCCTAATGAGGCTGTGTGGTGATGTCACCAGACAGGCCCCGCCTCTTGAAATTGCAGCATTAACTTTTGAGAACTGGTGAGAGAAAATGAAGCCCATTGTGTTTGTGCTTTTTCATTTCTTTGTGGAAATGAAAGAGATGTTCTTATGTAGTATGATAAACTACTAAACTACTGAATAAAATACGATGTATGGACGAATGATTTAATTACTCAGTCATTTAACACTTCATAAGGTAACTAAGATGAAATTAAGGACGTGAAAAACTTAAGTTTTAAAACAAGCTCTGTTTCAACAACTTCGTTTTCCATCATGTTTGTGGGGCTGTTTTTTTTTTTCTTCGTTCATGCACAGAAAACTGTGGGTAACTGAAGGCCGGGAGTGATATTTCTGATGTGTCCTCAAAATCATTTAGAACTTAGGCTGCATTTCTAGGCTGGATGTGAAGGGTTCTTCACTTTGGAGCAGCCTTCTATGATGTACCGGCCAAGAAATGCAGCATAGGCTTTGGAATGCAGCTATTGATGTGAGGCACTGCTCTTGAGCATAAAAAGCTATTTCACTAGAAATGCAGCACCCTTGTGGAGAACTTTCTGCCTGCTAAATGTGAGTGAGTGAGTTACAAGCCAGTTCCAAGAGGTGCTTCACATCTAAAACTACAGTACAAGAAAAATGTAGGTCATGGCTACTTTAAAATTCCCCTTCCACTGACAAATGTCCTTAAAATGCATGACACCAAATCAGATGACGTTTGAGGGAAAAGCAATATCATTCTAGCATTGATTTCTGACCCTCAGCACAGAACTTTTCCATTTTCCTATTCTTTTCCCCTAATTGGCTGCTATTTATGGAAGCAGTCCTCTCCCCTCCTCCCGGCCACACTCTACCCTTTTGACCTATATGTTAGATGTGATGTTTTCAGCCAAGTTGTACCGGAAGGCAGGGTGATCTAGCAGCTAAAGACTGTTTCTAGCATGGAGACAAACAGAGTTACTCGAGCAGAGAGGATCCTACCTATTTCACGCTTCAGAGCAGCCATAGAGTTAAGGAGCAAAAGACTCTTCTTATCTCAATCTGACAACGCTGCGGACGCGAGATGCGACTCATTGTCAGGCACTTCACATTCTCTCACCACTTTCTAGAAATGTCAATAGCCGTTCTAACAATCAATACGTGTGTAGCCTATTACTAATTAATGACACATTAATCGCAACAGCAGTCTGGAGGTCAGACTGATTAGTGATCTAATGTGAATTAGTGTGGTAATTGAAGCCATTCCCATGTAATCAAGCTTGGTGCGTATAGCAAAATTTGTGGAAATGACTTATGGCTGTAAGTTTGTGAATTAAAGCTTTAAGGATTGTTGAAGGTCTTTTATCAGGACTTGGAGTGAGCCTTGGAGCTCAACATTAACAGCCACTGAGCTACACTTTGGCCTCAACATAACCAAATGAGATGATTGTACTGACACTTAAAAATAAAGGTTCCTGAATGGTTCTAGGACAGACCTTTAACAGAGAGAAAATATGGTCTTAATAATAAAGGTGCCAAAAGGAGCAATGCCATTAAAGCTACAAAATGTAAAGTTTCTATACCATCTGAGGTTTTCCAATCTGGACCTTGAACCCCGTCTCCAGCCCTGCATTTTGTAATGGAAGCTGGATTCTAGTTCTGGCTTAGAAGACCTGAACTGGCATAGAAACATATTTTATGGAGGTTCACACTTGCACATTCCATGTACAAAAATGGTTCTTTAAAGTTCCATTGAAAGGTTCTCTAAAGAACCAAAAGTGGTTCCTTGATGGCACTGCTCTAAGGAACTCTTAGAAGTGCATTTATTTTTAAGAGAATTTGATCATGAATGCTAAAGACTGACTGCACTGAAATCCCATTTCAGAGTACAACATCTCAGCGGCTGCCATAGCCATCTTCAGTCTGGCCTTCATGACCCTGGGGAGCCTGTGTCTCCTGGGAGCCTTTGGGAAGGGCAGAGACTACCTGCTAAGGCCTGCTGGCATGTTCTTCGCTTTTGCAGGTGAGACCAGCACTTGGCTTTAACTTGTTTCACAAGATAAAGTTCATACTTAAGGCTATGGTTGGTCCAATGAAGAAGGTTAAGGGAATAGCTCAGCAAAGAATAAATGAGACAGTTTTTCTCTTTCCCCAAATGTGGCCAAGTTAGCCAAAACTGTTATCTAAAAACAGACGTCAATAAAAGTCCAGATTCAACAAGTCCATTTTTATAGAAACAGTATTGCGTACATTGGCAGAAACCACATAAACCAGTGTATTTAAGATTCTTATCAGCTTATATAGTTTGAGGCTACTGTTTGCACAATGCTAACCTAGTGGGGTATAAGCTTCCATTACTTGTTAGCTACATTAGTTTCGTGACTGCAGTGCAAAACTAAAGAAGAAAACCAGACACTAAATATACATTGGCTAGGGCTGGATATTGAAATGAAATACTTTTTTGGTACCGATCAAACTAGATCAGTGTAATTCCAAGTGATTAAATACCAAATTTCAATAGCTAAAGCCAATAAGCATACTTGTTTTAAAATCAAGATTGCCAATTGGCTGTCCAAACTACATTCGAGTGTCTTAAGCCATTGCCTCGCTATGTTCTTTGCTAGGGTGGAGCAAATACTGGACGATTAAGGGTGGTCCTGATGCAATGAGGGCATGAAATCAGAGACAATTTACCAAGTGAGAGCGGCCATGTAAAATAATATTTCTGGGATTGTGTCATATGGTTTTAGTGAGAGTGAGGAAAGTCACATTCCCGCTTTACACAGACAACAGAGACCAGAGTCCCATTCACAACAGTGAGAAATTCTGCCTATTTCACCAAACTTTAGAGATGTTTCCCCCCTTGCTGATTACAGTGCACTTGTGGCAGTTTTGTGATTGCTAGAGTCCTGGGATTATTTTGAGCCTAAACATGCATTTTCTGATGAGCTGATTTTTAGGAAAAAACAGTTTTGTTTAGCCAGCTGCCGGGTCTTTCTGCACGGTCTGCTGTTGTTGCCACGGGAGATGGGGGGAGGGATGAAGTGGATGACGTAAGACTCAGGCAGAGATGAACTGTATCACTTTTCGTCTAATTGACTTGAACAGGCAAACACTATCTACCATCTTCTAGGCATATTCTACATATCTTTCCACCCTAACCTTTGACAAGATTAGCCACTGCCAGAAGCAAATTCCTTTTTCCATGGTTCCACATCTTTTCCCATTCAAGTGTTTCGCTTTTTCATCTGGCAAATGTCACCCACTGCAGTTTTATTAACGTCAGCACTCCGTGATTAGTCTGTATTCCAATGCTGTCAATAAATACACCCACTTCCATCACTTCACTTCACACTCATTTCTTCGCACCCACCTCTGGTTTGTAATTAAAGGTGTGGTGTGTAAGATTTAGTGACATCTACAGATGAGGTTGCAGATTGCGACCAACTGAATACCCCTCCCTTACCCCTCCTGTGAGTAGTAGAATCTACAGCAGCTGTCAGGTTTTCTGCCATCGCCTGTCCCGATTTCATTTTGCTTCTTCATTTTTTTGCTTCTTTGACAACGAGGTTTCACCCTCCCTTGCTTTTTCTTGTGCTCAATAATAAGTATGATCCTCCATTTGTCAAAATGTGAGTTCTCAAACTTCTCACAACACAAAATGGTTAGCCAGCACTGGCAGCAACCATGAATTCTTCTTCTTTCTGCACCTTCCAACTGGTGGTATAGTGCCACCAAATTCAAGCTGCCACTTCAACAAAAAAAGTCAAGGTTTGGTTTGTATGTTCTGGGCTACTGTATACTGTAAATATGGTAGCTCAACATGGCAGCTTCTGTTGGAACAGAACCTGCTCCATATGTTGATATGAAAGGTTCATTCCAAGCTAATGAAAGCATGATTAGTTACAGGTGGTCATTCACTAATGAAAACATGGTTTTGTATGCTATATTCCATTTATGCTAATTGATCCCCCTAAATCTTATGCACTGCACTTTTAACATCTTAAAATCCCAGTTTTTTTTTTTTACATACTAAGATTTATTATTCAGTAACTACCCAGTAACTACAATGCAAAGTGGCTGCATTATTAATTATTATCTAAGTACAGAAGTGTATAGCAAAACTTTGGACCCCCATTAGGACTGGCCATTTAAGGGGTTAAAAGGAAGGTATCGAAAGAAGCATCATTCTGGAACTGTACCGCTATCAGTATCAAAGGAATTTGTCTAGTCTTGAGTACATTTGGGGTGAGAGGAAAACTGCAAATCTGAATTTTTGCCACACTATTACTTACAACTCACAACTTTAAAAGTATTCTAAAAGTTTAAGGGGCTTATGCGATATCTCACAGACAACGAGAGTCAACACAGAGGACATGGAGGTCAACCTTAGAAAACCTAGCTTACTTTATTCACAAGAGAACAAAGTGGTGTAATCCAATGCTTACTGATCAATAATCCGGAAACTCAAGAAACCACAGTGAAAATGGCTGCCCTTCCTGATTCTCTACACCCCCCTTCAGGTCTCTGCATAGTCATTTCAGTGGAGGTCATGAGGCAGTCCGTCAAGCGCATGATTGACAGCGATGAAACCATCTGGATCGAGTACTACTATTCATGGTCGTTCGCCTGTGCCTGCGCAGCTTTCATCCTCCTCTTCCTCAGCGGCATCAGTCTGCTGATCATCTCCATGCCTCACATGCCACGGAACCCCTGGGAGACATGCATGGATGCCGAGCCTGAGCCCATGGACTAGCAGAGTGCCTAGTAAGAACGCACAACACAACTGACAGTGGAATTCTGTAGTAACACATGCAAGAAACAAGATGAAATATGTGAGGAACACACCATCTAGATATAGGGGGTCTGTAATTGCCCACAGAATATTTATATCATTGATTTTGTATGCTGTTTTTCTGTTCTCTAGAAGCAAATCCATGGACTGTATAACATACAATGAGGTTCCAGTTTATTATGTACACCTGCCCTGAACCTACAGTCATTGGCCATTTTATCAGAAACACCTAATATATGCAGTACTGTGCAAACGTCAGAGACCACCCTTCAGTTATTTATGTCCAGTCAAAATGGCCATCAGGTATTCACTTTTCAGCATCAAGGGGAAAAAAAGTGTATATTTAACAGAAAAATACACTGAAGCCTCAACAGCTAATTATATCAACTTTTTTAGTATGTAGCGCAGCCACAGTTTGTACAGCTTCCATTCTTTTCTGGAGACTTACTTTCATTTTTCCAAAGAAATCTGCAGGGATATTTTTCCACACCTTCAAAGTCTTAGAAGTTCGTTGTATTTTCCGCCAAGTAAGCTTAAACACCTTCAATGATGTTAAGGCCTCATGAAGGGCTGGAGGACAACTAATACAAATTGCTCATGGATACATAGTCTAACTGCACTCTAAAGTGGCCAGGAAGTGTGTATATATATATATATATATATATATATATATATATATATATATATATATATATATATTATTGTTATATGTATATATAGTTTAAAAATCACAGCAACGCTACTTTACCTGATGGATTTGTACCAGTGCAACATACAGTTGTCAGTTTAACTGCTGTGCTGAGAATGCTCCACCACCAGACAATTTCTGGTTAGAGGTGGTCCCTTTCCACTGATGAATGGAGTAGAGGGGGGGCTGATAAATTGTGCAGCAATAGATAAGCTAAAGTCAAGCTCACATATATATAGCAGGTGTTTAAGATGAAGTGTCCAATGAGTGTAGCTACAAGGTACACTAAATGTTCAAAAGTAATCATACACCTCTTCTAATTTGCAAATGCAGCTACTTTAAGATGCACCCATTGCTGACACGAACATTTACTTGCACACACCCTCTTGCAAAACCTCAATAGTAAAGCATTGCCAATATAATGGGATGCTCTGGAGCAGCCACCTGAGCCTAACATCAGCATGCCCAATGCCAAGCATCAGCTTGGCTGGGCTGGGCTGTGGAGCAGTGGAACTGCATTCCCTGAAGTGATGGAACCATTATTAAACACCTATGGAACTAATATTTGACCTCACTAATGCTCTCGTGTCTGAATGCAGAAAAGTAGAGGCTGTTACTGCAGCAAAGAGGGACAGACCCTCTTTTAATACCCTTGTTTTCAGAATAAACATTAAATGAGCAGGTGTCTACAAACTTTTGGGCATATAGTGTAAGTGTACTTGAAGAAAACCAAGAAGCGTTCCATTCCTACAATTCCCATAACATGTACACCTTCCAGTGTAGACAGTTAAGCAAGATTAATTCATTACGAACTGTGGGTGGGATGGATAAGTCCATTGTAACTGAGCATGCCAAGTATGCATTCTGAACTAATATCTTCTCTAAGCATTCCTTTAACCATGTTGACATTTTTAGTAATGGTTTGTAATTTAAGATTGTATTAAGGTTGTTTTTTGTTGCACCACTATACTGCATAACGATATGCTACAAAAGCCTTCTGTAGAACTGTTGTTCTCTATATAAGAAAATGCCCTGCCTGAGGTGTCTTAATGAATCATTGTTTATATGCACACCATATCAAAAACTGCTTTACAGTTTCTAGGTTTAAGTGAGTCATTCACCAGGACAAAATAATGTCTGGTGTTTTCCAGCAAGCCAAGCTCCATGCAAAAAAAAATTAACACACTTAATGGATGAGGGTGTCATAGTTCACATCTGTTTCTTATGAAAAATGAAACAAAACAGCCCAATTATGTCTATAAAGAGTGGCTAAAAGGTTCGCAATTTGGCTGCAACCTGTTCATCACAAACACCTGTTAGTTCTCAATGATTATAAGACAACATAAACTATTCTTGAACATGAATGATCTTCCAATTCGCCATTCATAATTAAGGGCATTACTTCAGACACTGTTACAATGAATTTCTTAAACCAACAGTTTGGCCAGCAAGCAGTGTTTGGTGTCCCAAGTTTGCTTCTTTGGTTTTGCACTGGAGCTACTAGGCCAAATCAGCTAACATGTAATGGAAGTTTATATTCACTTGTTTAGCATTGTACATACTCATGATCTCATCACACATTAGCCTTGAACTGCACCACGTGATCTCAAATAGACTAGCTAGTATGATGTACCACTACCCATAAGAAGAGACAGTAGATAGCATAGCTAAAACAGTAGTAGCAGCTACCTTAAAGCCTTAAATCTGCCCATACTTTTGTCCATTTTTATGTCCTACAGTATCCAAAGCCAGGTAAGTATGTTTGAGATGACATAACAGCTCTAAGCAGTTGGAAACATGTATATGACAATTTAGAGAAGCAGCTCGCAAGATGCGGCATGCATTCTTGGCTATGTTAGCCCATAGCTCCAGTGCAAAACTGAAGGAACAAACTCTGTTTGGGTTCAAGGGAAAATTATGTCAAGTGACAAAGACTACAAAAGATAGATGGCACAGCATATGTGGGCATAAATGTCACTAACAGACACATTCGCTGTAAGCACACCGTGGTAAGCCTAATCCCAAATGAGCAACTATATTCGGCAGTTCTGCAAACTGTTACTATTGTACAAGAACATTGATATCTCGCCTCCATCGTAACCATTAGCCATGTGCAGAGATGCATAATGTGATCAAATAAATAAATAAATAAATATTGGACATATGTTTAGATTTGACCGATATTTTATACCAATATTTGATGTATTTAATTGTATATTGATATTATTATTATATATTAATTGTTATTGTATATAAATACTGCAAATACGTGTTATTTTTCTCTGTAATTGTAATCCAAGGAGATATCCCAATTTCTACATCTTATGTTTATGTATTGGCATCAGCAGAACATGAAAAATACTGCATGTCATCATCGGCCCACATCAGTGCCTCCTTACGAATAAGAGCTTCATTCTCACCAAGCGGTGCAACATAAACACACGAGGCAGGTTCATTTTTCTGTGGTATGCGAAATGAAGCACACAGCATTCATCTCTTTTATTCCTTTATTCTTATGTACAGTTTGAGAAAAGTTTGTCTACAGCTATACAACTTTTTATAATATTTTTGTCTGAGTTGGTTCACCACTGAGCTGCTGGCACAAGAAAACACACCTATAATGATTAAGGAACTCATCATTAAAAAAGCCAGCTGGGGGAAAAAAAAAAATCACTTCAACAAGTTTACTTCTGATAGTAGATGCAAATAGAGCAGACATAATTAGAGGAAAAGAAAGACAGGCAGCTAAGTGGTCAACCAATTCACTGTGTTTTTAAAAATCTTTTTTGTTTTCATAAATTTTTTTGTGTGTGTTTTTCTTCAACATTTTGGTATTTCTTGATATATATGCTGATTTCCGTTTGTAAAACCACAGATGTCAAACTGTAAAAGAACCAACTAACTAAAGTAAGTAAAAAATAATAAAACGCAAAAGTCTAACTAACTGACAAAATCAAAAGACATTTTTTTTTACTGTTGAGTTTTTTTTTTAGATTGTTATTCTATTTTTTTTAATCGTTTTCACTTTAACAGGTGTATATATTTCATATATATTCACTTATTTAAAATACGAGTAATACCCATTGCTACTATTTGAACTCCCTATGCTAAGGTCTTTTAACAGAGAGATGGGGTCGCTGTTCTTTTTGACCTGCTCGGGCAGTGGCCGGGGTTTTGGGGGGGCTCGAAGGGCGCTGGCGTAGGACATGGTGGGGGGCTTGGAGTGAGTAGAGGCCTGGGGGCCTCCTGGGCTGGTGTTGCCCCCTCCTCCGGGGTCTGGAGGTGTCTGCTTGCTGGGCATGAGGGGTGGGAACTGTCCATGGTGCTGGAGAGACGTGAGGCTAGTGGGGTGGGGCGGTTGCTGCAGACATTCGGCCTGACTGTGCTCCTCCACAGCGTTCATCGCCTTAGAAACTGGAAGAGGAACAGCAGGCACTGTTACAGGTAACTGTTCAGCAAGGATTCAGAGTTTTAAAAACATGTAACAGAACGTATGTTTATTTTTACCTTGTTAGTTAATGCACCTGGTCACATAAAGCATGGTTCATATTTAAGAGAAAAAATTCTTGCTCTCCTGTAATCTTTCATAAAAATGTAATGACTGTTGCCAGCCTCTAAAGCCTTCCGAGTTTTGATTAAATCATTGCGCACCAGCGGGCAGAAAAAGAAGAAATATGCTCAAGGTATGAAGGGTGTTATGATTTCTGATTCAATTTGACTTTAACTAAATGTAAGTTAATGCAATTAGATTTTCTTCCAAATCATTTTGGACCACTTATATAGGTCCATTAGTCATGAAATGTTTACACAATGTAAAGGGCAGCTGGCTGTTCCAAAAAAACACACACACACAAAAAAAAAAGTTGAAGTAGTTAGAATGTTTTGATGTGGATACATCATACTGAGACTATATTACTACATAATCCAAGTGGGTGAACACTTGAACTTGACATGATTAAAGTGAACACTACAATATGTCATCAGGGTCATGCAAGAACCCTGCATCTCTATTTTTTGTTTTTCTTGGCTAAATTTTAAAAGTCAAGTTACCCTTTGTCGTATTCTCCAAAATTTCCAGGTGAATGGACCAACAGACTTGGTCTAAATTTACTCATGGGTAAAAAAAATGCTGCATTAACTTCCATTACAAGCTTATTACAAAAGCTCTTACTGCTTTCTCCTGTAAAGTAACTATTTCTGAAATACACAGTTTAGACAGCAACATATAATTTCTTTCTGACGGTGAAATCAATGGAACAGTCAATGGGGTAAACCCTCAGGTTGGTCACTCTTCTCACGCCATCTGTTACTGTGTTCTCTTTTGGAGTGTCATTATTACTGTAATTAATCATGTTTGATTGCAAGGTACCAGCACATCCTCCTCAAAGGGATACACTACACTGCAGTTCTGAAAAACTACAGACACACTTCAGTCTTTTACTTACTCACCTAAAATGTCCCTGTGAGGGACGAGGTGGCTCGCTCCATTGCATGGAATGTTGTGGAGAGGAGCAGGGCCCGGGATGGGGGCGGGGCCACTGGTGCCGGGCCACAAGTCTGCTGGGGGGTATCTGTAGGAGGGTGTGGGGTGGTCCTGAGGGTCCTTACACGGGACCACGCTCTCCGGGTACGGCTGAGGAGAGCTGGAAGAGATGCGCCTCTGGTACAGTGGCCGACCAGGTCCTCGTGGTTCATACTGAAAGGGAAGGAGAGAATGAGGACGGGAGAGAGGAGGAGCAAGATTGGTCTTTTTTTCTAGGTGTGCCTGATATATCGGTGACTGATATATTATTTGCCAATAAATGCAAAAATGTATAACTGTTAAGAAGAAAGAAGGAAACCACTGATATGCCAATAAAAGTCTTTGGGTAAGACGTCCAACATTAGATTATTCTTCCACTAGATACGTAAAAACACTATGATATGCTAAATATGTACACGTACACAAAAAATGTCTACATTTTGCTGTGACAAGGCAGAAAAAAAATTAATGACACATCTTCAGAGTTTTAACCTCTTATCACTATATTTATTATAAAGATTATAGTTTGTTATTGGTATCATTATCAGTCCAAAAATTCCATATTGTGATAACTAATGAACCCTCACTAAATAGTTTTGTAAAACTCGCTCCATTGCAGCTGATAAGCTTCATGGCAATTCACATAACATTACCACATATCTGAAACCCAGTAGTGCTACTGAGCAAATACCAGTAGAAAATGCTGAATCTGGTATCAGGAAAAAAACCCAAACAAAAAACAAATCTGATTAAATTTTGTAGCACATCTAAGATTGATTTCATTATATTTACCCTATGAACATACTATAATATTATAATACCTGTATTTTAAATTCTTTAAATTTGCACATTTGCACTGTAAAAGTTTAACTGAATAAAAAAAAAATTAAAAACGTTTTTGTATTTCATGTTACTGGCTATGTATTTGTTGCTGTAGGGTAGTGGAGTATTTTTTTGAGCAGTTTGAGAATAGTACTTTAACACTGCTGTCTGAAGTAACATGCCTCTTTCAATTAAAAATAAATAAAGTGACAAATACATAAACCAGTCCTCTTTAGTGGGGGCTGGCTACATTGTTCCTAGGAGAAAATTTTAGTAATTTTAACATGAAATGCTGGTTCATGCTAAGATTAAAATACAGGTGTAATTACTATGGAATTATTTAGTTCAGAGTTTATGAACTGTGCAAATACAGGTCATTTCCAAATATTGTCCTTTATTCTAGGTATTTTGACTAATTTGTTAAAAACCTGTGGCTTAACATACCAAAAGGTCAGCGTGTATGAAATTTGGCAGACATTCTTTTTCCACATGTATTATAGAGGCTATTCTAAAAACTTCTCATGTGTGTTCTACTAGCGCTATAATGCACACTGTGCCTGGATCCAGATGACTGCCACTTGCAGATGTTCACTCTCAAAGCAGTTATGACAGTCCAAAGAAGCAAAACACTTCACCACTCATGAAACACAGGTCTCTTTTCTTGTTTCTATAACATGACTTTTGTTCTGACTGGCAGGCAAAAATTAAACACTATCTGTGGTTTCTGTCTCAGAACTCTCTGCTGAGTGCAGACCCCCTCCCGAGTTTAAAACTCTTTAAATCTACACAATTCACAAGAACGGCACATTCAGCATTCAGAATAGTGAATTATAGTAGTTTTTTTAGGACAAAACAGTATCAGCTGATACTCAAAGTTTTGGTATTGCTATTGGCATCAATATTGGAAAAGGTGATATTGTCTCTAAACTCTACAGACACCACAAACGGCCTCACCTCTTCTACACTTTGCAGAGTACTCTGTTGGGCCTGGAGCTGCTGCTGCTGTTTCTGCTGCTGGTGCTGCAGCTGCCCGAGGGGGCCCTGCTCCTGCCGAGGGCCTATGGACTGCAGGCCGAAGGGCAGAGGGGGGCCCAGCACCTGACTCTGCTGCAGGCCAGCATGAGGCCAGTGGGTTTCAGGGAGGAGGTATTTGACAGGCAGGGGGCCAGCTGTGTGCTCAGGGGGCAGGGAAAAGGTGGCCTGGCTGAAAGCCTGATGCTGGTGGAAGGGTTGCATGGTGGAGGGGAGATCGCGGCTGGTCTCTGGATAAGGGAAGGCCCCTGGGGTCGACGTATGGTTGTGGGAGCTGGAAGTGGTGGAGGAGGGAGAGGGCAGTTCTCCTGGGCTGCGGGGCTGCTGGACCTGCCTGTACTGCAGCAGCCGGGACTGTGGGGGCGGCATGTCTACGACTTCCCGCTGCTCGAACGGCTCCTGAGGGAGCATCTCTCGCAGCAGTCCAGGATACCTTCAGACAAGGAGAATGAGGGAGGGCAGAGGGAGAGGGCAGGTAGAGAGAGAGCGAAAGTAAGTAAAGAGAAACACGGGGGGGTGGTATTATCTCGGGCTCAAATGATATATGGTTTGGCTGATAAAATATACTTTGAAATATACAGCAGATATTGAAGTTCGACAGATTTATTGGCACCTGTAAAAATCTTGCCAATAAAATGCCAATTTTGGTGTGTGGCCTCTTTTAGAAGAACTGACAATCGTATTTGACGATTCACAGTTGCCAACTGACAACTATCTCAGTCATTAAGCACTGTTTAACAATTGTATTTTTATACAGTCTGTATACAATTACACAAAATGTGTTGGGGAAAAAAACTGTTCATGTCAATCATGCCCTAATTTGTCATTACATCTGCCTACAACATCAAACATGTCCAGCTTTGTCTAGACCTGTGCTGGAGCTCTGACTGACCTGGGCATGGGTGGTCGGGGCTCGTCTTCTGGGGTGGGGTCCAGGCCCCAGTTGGGCCGGAGGAGCTGCTGTGGGAGCCGTAGGCCTGGTTGGCCGAGATGTGCCAGCTGCTGGGCCAGAGGGAACGGAGGCCCAGCACCCTGCAGGAAGGGCCCGGGTTCGTTCCAATGTCCCAGACGTGCTGCCTGCTGTTGCTGCTGCTGTTGGGCACCCAGAGCATCTAGCCCCGAACAGCTCTGTCCATCTGAGGAACAAAGACAATTCACAGAGTGAGTGTGAACGCATGCGGTGGAGAGTGTGTGTTTAAAATGTATGATCAAAGTGTGGTCATGCAGATATGATATAGTGCAATATTGAGAACCAGTCAGAACTAGACTGGCCAAAAATACACCAAAAGGCATTATAAAGTAAAATCTTTCAATATTAACAATAAATAGCAACAAAGCAACATTCAATCACAGAGCGCGCCACATAGAAAAGCTAGGCTTACCCAGAGCATCTCCCAGCAGAGAATCCAGGCTCTCCTCCCCAAAGCTGTTGAGGCGTGTGGGTTGCTGATGTGGTTGCGGTTGGGGCTGAGGGGGTAGTCCTCTCACTACACTCTTCAGTTCCTCAGGCACAGCCCCCACTAGGCCCTCCCCTCCTTCCAGCCCCTCTAGCCCAGGAGACTGCAGGCTGCGCTGGCCCAGTGGGTGGCCACTGAAGAAGGAGGGAGGGAAGGCGGAGGGCTGTGGGTGCTGTGGGTGCATGGGCCCTGGGTGCTGTGCCTGCATGCGGAGAGGAGGTCTGGGGAGGCCGTACTGCTGTGCAAAGGGGGCACCGGGAGGATGGGGAGGGAAGGCTGGGTGGGGCGGGGCCAGGTGGAAGTTGAGTGAACGCTGAGCCGGCACTTCTTTACGAAGGAGGCGGCCGGCAGGGAAGCCCAGGCCAGCGTGGGTCTCAGGGCTTTTGTTCTGAACTGGCTCAGGCTCTCCCTGGGAAAGAAGGCATCCATGATAACACTCAGTGATCAGTGACCAGATTAGTAAATGGCTAATGATGCACAGTGTACATTTTTATCATGGACACACAGTGATATCTGAAATCATATCTGTATCAGCAGATACTCTGTTTCAGACTGATTTTTCAGACTTTTTGTCCATTTCATCTTGCAGGCCCAATAATGGCTCTCACACAGATTTAATCCCTTAACAGGCCATGGGTCCACCAGGGCACCCAAAGTTTTATCACTTTTATAACCTAAAATTAGCTCGACCAGTTTACATTGAAGTCCCAGTAGTTACTTTGTATGTAATAAGCCTGGGATGTTAAGGGGTTAAAAAATTATTTTTGCAGTAGTTCACATTTCAGTAACAATTAAAAACTGTGAGAGCTAGACGTGGAATTCTTAGCTATCTAATAATGGAAGGAAAGATAGATACCTGTTTCTCCTTCAGTTCAGGGGCTTTTCTTTCAGGTGTCAGCAGCCTGCTATGCTCCACTTTTCCATTAATATCAACCTTCCCTGTGATGAGTACGGCACATCAGTACATTAGAGCCACAAATCAGCGTGTCACGCAAATAGCACTGTGTGAAAGCTCCCCACCACACCAGCTCTGCTTTTAGGCAAGGAGATGCTTGACCAAATTAAACAAACAGCATGACGTATTTTTGCAAACACAAAATGCAGCAAAACAACACAGAATATTCTGAAGAGCACAGCTGCATTTCAAAAATCTGTCTAGCTGCAGCCAGACATTTCCCAAGATTTTGTGTAATAGGCAATTATCATAAACATATTTGTACTTCTGCACAAAAGTAAATAATGTTGGAAACTATTCACTCTTTTCAAATAAAAGTCTGAGGCAAGTGTAAAGCTTGCCAAAACACTGCTGACAAATCATCAGACCTTGTGTCAAATAGCCTACACTCTGCAGCTTTTTGGATATTTTAAGCAGGCTACAGCTACAAGTACAGATAGCTCACTCAAAGCAAGCACCTTATGTAAGACACATTATTACGCCCCCCCTTCAACACGCATCCAGAGCTGACACCACACAAGCTCATTTACGGCAAGCGTCTACAAACTCTGGTGATGGGCAATTTTGACAGATCATGCAGTCCTTTCTTCCAGCTCTTTCATTTCATGTCTGGCCCAAAAAATTCTACAACTAACGCATACTGTAGAACATGTTGCTAAAAAACAGGCAAAGCAGAGAGTACAGTACCGTTGCCGCTGGGTTCCTGTAGCAGCTCCTTGTCGGTGGTGGGTGCCTGGGCAAGGCCGAGCGGAGAGGGCTGACTCAGGCCATACAGAACAGGAGATGCCCGACTGGCCGCTGGCCGCAGGTTCAGGTTATAGGCCGCCATGGCTGCCGGGTGGCTCATGAAGCGGGGGTCCACGGCAAAGCGGCTTTGGTAGCTCGGCCATGGTAACTGAGAGATTATGCACGGAAAATGAGAATGGTAACAGGCAAGGAAAGAAAAAAGAGAAGATTCTTTATGTGTTAAATATGCTATGAGGGAAATCCATGCTTCACCCACCCCCAAATGTTTCACTGTAACTGCTGGACAAGCTTTATGGAACTACGGCAAAAATTCTATTCAATCCAATGAGAAACTGTTGCAAATGTTGCATTTTTTAATCAAAAAAAAAAAAGTTTTTGTCATGATTTTTTTGTAAATATAAGGAAGTTAGAAGTGTGCAATAATATTTCATTTGCATGCATGAAGTCACACTGTTAGGATAGTCTGGCTGTAGTTTTTTTTCCTTGTATAATCAACAACAGCCTGGCGGCAAGTTCGTCATTTTCAATCTGGCAAGATTTCATCAGCAATAACGTAATCCAGCTCAGTAGCGCAACATTTTAAACCACAAACTTAAATTCAAACTTTAAATGACATTTTTGGCAACATTCAGAAAAGCCTGTCCAACCTCACAACAGTTGCTAACAAAAAACATTTGTTGGTGGAGCATGGCTAGACCACTGCTGGGTCAGGAAGCACTGCATTATCCCCCCGCCCCTCCTTTTTGGTCACTGTAAAGTGTCAGTCACATAGCTTGTTGGCTTATTTAAACAAGTGAACCTTAAGGACATATTGGCAAACAAGCTCATGAGCTGTCTGTCAGGCACAGAAGCAGCTCTGAGAAAAACAAGAAACTGAACAGAGAGCGGTGGGAGGACTCCAATCACTGTTTACATACACATATATATTTAGCCTAATGGTTAATTAACACTGGCAAACATCCATCAGAGAGTGTGTATGGTTATAACTGCCTACTGTGTTTAACCAGGGGGCATGTTAACAGCACATGGCCATACGTCAATAAAACAGGGCACTAGAATCCCTTTTTCTATCTTATTCCTACTTCAACACAGGATATAAAAGGTATGGTTAAACTTCAAGATTTAACCCTCTTTCGTCTCCCACAGCATATATGCCTTTAAACTAAATCTAATTATTTTTTACTTGTAGCTCAATAAAACAAGCAAAGAAACTTGGAAATGTGTATTTTCTTTCAGTTTATACAAAGCGAGTTTGTAAACAGTGGCTTTTTTGTGACACTATCTTTTTCATTTGGCTCAGTTGGTTTCACACTGCAAAGCTGCACCAAATAATGCATGTGGGTGTTTGTGTTCTTTGATTGTATATGTATATACATTGGTCTCCATTTTTTTATTATTATTTTTTTGGGGGAGAAAAAAAAGCCTATAACAGTATAAAATCCACACCTATCCCTCACATATATTCTTGGGAAAAAATGATCATATTATTATCCATTATGTTGCAAGAACAGACACTTTTTTGCCTACATGTACTCCAATCAGAGTAATAAAAGTCAACCTTAAATGATACAAAAATAGTAATAGTCTTGTTTTTTGGCATCAAACACATTGAAACAAGTCTAGAGGTACAGAAACAGTTTGATAAAGAATGAAAATCAAATGCAAGTGTAACTATGAAACTATTTAACTTTACAACTAGATAAATATATATAAATAATTACGTAATGTGAAACAAATAGCATTTACATTACACAATGTGTGCATAGTAAACTCTACACATTATCTTTAGGTCTTCCAAAATACAGCGCAATTTCCTGAAATGACTAGGACTAGTGCTCCAAAGTGTGAGGACTAGCTGTCCAGCACTCACCGGCAGAGGCATGGGCATGACCATGTTGCCTCCATAAACAGCGGGCACGTAGAGGATGCTGGCTCCAGTGTGGGGGTCGATGCGTTGGACAGGGCTGGGCGACTTCCCGCCGGCAGGTGCTCCTCCTCCGGGTGGAGTGAAAGCCTGGATGGGATTTCCCATCAACACAGCAGCACTGGGCTGAACTGCAGACACAGCAAGACATTAGGGAGACAAGGCTCAGACAGGTAATCACACAAACCTTCAGAGCACACAGTAATCAGTGCATGCTGGTAATGGCTGCAGCTGTTATTTGACATGAGCACATGCAACAGTATTAGGGGTGTGAACACTTCCCATTTGAATCCTGTCATTGACTTTGATGATTACTAAAATGCAATCCAAACAGTTCTCTAATGTTTGCTTCTCAGATGTAGTAAATGTAACTGAACACGAACAAACATTTTCAAACTATCGGCCACATCTGTGTTGCACTATCAACTGCCACAATTTTAAAATGCTTCCCTGAAGGGGAGAGCAGGGAGCAACTTCATGTGGGGTAAAAAAGTAACACTGATATTTTAAGTAGTTAAACATATTCAAGTACAACATGCTCTTGGTCATCTCATATTCCCATATCCACCTCACCTGTGAATTCTAACAGCAATCGGACATATATTTCTTGAGATTCAGCCTGAAGACGGTTTTTGTATCATAAAAAAAGCAACTATTTCTTGATTTGTGAGCTGAGTTACATAATTCACAACTATATTATTTTATTCATCCTATTCTTGGCTATAGCCTTTTTAAGCATACGAAATATTCACAGTGACAATGAGTATAAGAATTTCATAGCCCCATATACCAGTGTTTTTATATAAGCACTTCTACTCTGTGGTATTAAATCTGCCAGCGTTTGGCCCAGTTTACACCTGGCATTAACCTGCTTCCTGGGTGATCTGATCATAAGTGTACAGCACTAAGTACAAATGATGAACAGGGTACAATGCGTCTCGGGGGCACGTTGGGACCCGATCACCCAAACCACCCTGGGAGGTGGTCAAGGATGCATTTGACCACATAACCTTTGTAGTATGAACGCTAAAGGGTCTCGATGTGTCTTCGACAGTGGTACTGGACCACCTTAAATCAGCTGCATCATCACAGCAAAGATGAAAGCAGCTGGGCAGTTTATTTCTTTGTCTCCTCTCGTTTGTTTGCATTGCGTTAATAATCTATGCAATCTAAACGGTTGCATCAGCCCTTACATTTATATGAACAAGGGCGAGACTGATGCTGTAAATGTGGGTGGTACTCAGTCACTGAAGCCGCATTTGAGACACATGGAAATGGCAGGTGCAAACGGCTATATGGTCACATCACCTGAGACAGATGTTAATACCAAGTGTGAATAAGGCCTTTGACTCACGATTGAGTAATCGTATTAGTTTTGATGTATATATTTTGATGTATTTAGGTTGGAAAGCTAATCCGGTCCAAACATAGAGCAGTACAGAATTCACTGCATTCAACAACTAACCCCTCTGTCATAATTGCACTCCTACCAATTTTGGCCGAATTTTCCACAAATGGTAGGCGCAGGGGGAAAAAAAATTATACAAAATTTAATTTGGAGCAGAGGTGTGCAGGTGGCTTGTACCAAAAAAATGATTAATCTCCAAAATAGGTAGTTAGTATTAGGTTATGCCCCGCTCTCCCCTGCTTAGAGATGAACAGAAACTCTAAACGTCTTACAAAAGTTTACTGATTCTGTGAATAAATTTAAATACATCTGAAAAATCTAGAAAACACCAATTTGAAACTACAACCAACAACTACACCCCAACCATATAGAGCTTGGGGTGAGACAGACATAAGAAAAAGCTTGACTAGAGCTGTTCTTATGAAGATTTTCAAACACTGGAGCAGCAAAATAAAAAGTTCTGGTCAGTTAATTTTTAGGTTTTCTGGTATCCATGCGCAATCAAACAGAAACCTATGAAAACTCAACCCACACAACAAATTACCACAAATTTTTCCCTCTGGCAAACCTCTGAAGGAATGAATCATAGAGATTTACATTTGACTAAAGACGTATTCCACAAAAACATAGCTTTCTATAAATGTGTTGACATTATTATTTCTAGTAATCATTTGAGCACTACAGATGAAAATGAAAAGGTTAAGCTGACTAATTCCTTCAACAACCTCTTCGTATTAAGCCATGTCTGCCCTGCTACAGCTGCTTGGGTGGAAATGAGTACAGCTGACAAAGGAATGTTTCATAATAATATTAGGTCTATGATCTGCATATAGGAGCAGCAAGCTAACATTTGCAAATGAGCAATGCGTCACACATTCAGACAGCAGGTCTGGCAAATAAAATCGATTTCCTTTTGAACTGTATTCAAAGTCAGTAAAATTCATTGTGGCAGCTTTAGTTTACACTGTCTCATGATCAGCCCATGACCATCTCTAACACAAACACACATGTGCACAGAGACATATACGCACACACACAAGGTCATTTGCTCAAACACACAGCAATCCAGAGGAGTAATTCTGAGTAAATTGGAGCTAGTGCCACATAATAACGCAGGGCTCATGTTTTGATTGGGAGAAAAGTGGGGCTGGGAGGAAGCTGGATACACTTGACTGATCTCAACACTTTCACTCCCTCAGACTGAGTGACCGCAAAACTGAGGCTCCTCTCTCTCTTTTCTGCTTCAGTGATCACTCGAGCAGTGATCTACAAACTAATGCCCTCGATTCACAGCGACAGCACTTGCAAACCACACCAATAATATGCCCAAACACTCCTATCAGAGGGCAAAAGCAGGAAATACACTTCCCCTAACCAGCTGCTAATACACTTCCTGACCTCAGACAAAAAGCACTGCTTTAAGTACACTCCAGGTGAAACTGCAAGATGTGAATACATTAAAAAGCTATATCCATACCCTTCACTGCCTCAAGAGCTGAAAGACTCCTGACTTAACTTGGGGCCAATATGGCATCTCAGTGGTCACAAAAGCCACATTAAGCACTAGGGGCATAAATGATTAACCAATTAACTTTTAACCCACAAATAAACAAATGTTTAACCAATGCTATCTGTTAAAAAAAGCATATAATATAATAAAAATGTGCTTTCTTTTCCAATGAAAAAAAATACCTATTCAAACAGGTGGGTTTATGATTCAAGGTAAGGAATGTTTTTTCAATTGTTTGCATGAGAGCACCATAAGCCATTAGTTTCAGCAGATTGATCTATTAAAACTGAAGCATTCAGCTATAAATAGTGGTGCATCAAGAAAAATCACTTGCTTGGTTGGGCAAGTTCATGTTGGGGTGGGGGTGCAACATATTAACAGATCAACGTCACTGAGGTCAAACTCATCAAGGCATGAACTGCGGATAGGTCAATATGTCCAAGCATGACAGGATGAGAGGTCAACAAAAGACTTACCGAAGCCTTCAGGAGGGAAGTGCTCTGCGTGATTGGCAAGCTGTCCTTTCGCCTAAGGAGGGAAGAAGAGGAGAGGTTAAGTAAAGAAGTGAAAGAGGGGACAGAAAACAGGGATTTGCCCCCCTGTCCTGCATCTATGACAGCAGAGGGACTGCGGTTAGATATGGGTTGTAGGTGAGATCTTGCACATCTAGTCTGCTGAAAACAACACTGAGTCAAAAGGCCACACAACAGAGAAGCCTTCCAGCAGGGCATTTTTTGCCCTCACTGACATATTCGGGAGCATTTTATACATAAATGGATGCACTTTGTGAAATATTCCAAATAACATCTCAACTTAATCAGAATATTAACTAGCTGTTTAATCACAAAGCCAGGCAATGTACAAATTAAGCAGTGTATACACACCGCCAAAAGATGGTAGCATGAGCAAAAATGAGGGAGAAAAACAAAAACAAAACAGTAAATCAGCAGCAGCATCCAAACCTGGTTTGGTAAGCTAGTTTGCTGGCTAACTTTTTAACTGGCATTAGCTAGTCTGTTAACTAGGCAAATTAATCCATTCATAAATAATCAGAAAAGAGAGTTTATTCATATTGATTTATTATAGTAACACTGTGTCTTCTTTTTTACCACCAAACAAGGGGAAAAAGGTTAAATATGGAGGCATTTTTGGCCTTTGCTCTTGGTTAGTTCTAATGCCCTCCAGGAAACAAAAGGCCTTAAGACAACACTACTTTATCACAACAGTAGCATCAGCTTCATTCCACAGCGTTGGGTAAAGCTAGTCATGTGTGGAGATGGAGAGTGCAGAGGTGAGTAGAGGGACTGAGTGTGGCCGAAAAAAAAGAGTTTGGGGGGGGCGTTACAGAGACAGCTCTAAGTGAAGGCAAATGATACCAAGCACTGTTGTGCGTGTGGAGCCCCTTTTTATTGGCTCATACGCAAAACAATGTCTGTCTCCACAGTATAATTGCACTGAGGTACCACATGGGCTCTGGTGCCTTGCTTTAGCAGCACTGGCAACGGCTTCCCAAATCAGAGCCTATTGATGTAATCCCGCAGGAAGACATGCCTTTTCACGACAGATCAATGTCATTTGTGTGCACACACAATGACGTGCCAACAGCATCAGCGGCCGATTCAGCGATTGATGTGAGGACTGGTCTGAGCCCTAGAGGCTGTGAGCGCAGGCGTTCAGGGGTCAGTTCGATTGTTCTTAAAGCCACTCAGGGAATCGCCGTTTGCAGATTACAGCACTTGTCATTTCAATACCACATGATGAGTAGTATGTGCCGTCACTCAAAGAATGCTGAAAGTAGAGGAGTGAAAAAACATGCAAACTATATATATATATATCCGTTGTCGGAACAAAACCTCTTATCTCCAAAATGATAACTTTACAGGAGAAGGAAAAAACCTTCTTTACTTTCAATGTAAATCAGTGGAAGCAGACTTGTCATTTTGGGCAGTTTCTTTTGGTCCCTTCATCATGAAATTACATTACATTTAAATTGCGACTTTCAGGTACTTTAGGTGGTGAAACAAGACTTCACAAGTGTAGAGTTCAGGCAACAATTCAGACTCAGCTAACTTAACAGTACTTCTTAATGCCAAATACAGGAGAAAAATATAATACAGGCTACAGAAATCAAAAAAGGAGATGCATCGATAATTCCATCTTTGTACCCTTAATCAAAATCTAATAGAATCTACATATTTAAAGGACAAATCAAAGGACAAAACAAATGATGGTGTTTATAATTATCTCAAGCAGAACAAGAGGTGTGATTCACAAGACAACCATAGCATGTTCGAAGGCCACTCTAAAAACTGTTGCTTTACAGAGCTGCATATGTTGGCACAATGGAGCCTGTTTCAGATGGTTATTAATACAGTACTTTCCATTATACCCCCCACCCCTTACCCATTCATGCTTTTTATTTAGAAAAGTTGCTTTGGCTTTCAAAACGAACAGTCTCCATGGCAACGGAGCACATTAATCACAGAATCAAATCACCTCAAATTGAAAGGTGGCCTTTTCTGCTCCTGTTTGGTAGAACTGGGAAAGCACATCAAGGTTTGAGCTATTAGAGAGCTCTCAGGAGGAATAACTGTCAGTAGATCCAGCAAAAAACAACAAACAGCAGGACAGTCCTGTTGTGTGACTTGCATACAAAACAATATTATACATGCCACGTTTGGAACATTCAATCAAGACGCAACTGCATGTCAGTAAATACAATGTAAATAATAAAAAGAGCAACACATCGTATTAAGTTCAACACTCAGTTGTCTTTGAATCAAATAAATTATTAAACCATGCAAGCTGTGGTTTTTGAATCTCTGGTAGTTCGGCTAACCCCAAGTTAATGATCAAATCTACTTTAATCTAAGGAGATAATAATTTTACCAGTAAAGGAACAAAGGAGAAGGAGAACAAGAGGAACAAGAGAAACAAGACACAAGTGACAGACAATAAAAAAGGAGAGTGAGTAAGAAAGCAAACCTCAGAGGACAGAGAGAAGTGAGAAAGAGAGAGACAACAGACAAAGAGGCAAAGAGGGAAAAGGAGAGAAAAGGATAGTAAGGCAGACGGAGACAAATAGAGAGGGAGGGAAGTCTCCTCAGTTATCTTCTCTGGCATGTTTACCTCCCTCCCCCTAAGGGAGCAGGATTGATTGGCGTATTATTCATCTGAGGGCTCGCTCCTGCACGCTCATACTCAGACGGATGCTCCCCGCCGCCCAGCCAAGCCCAACCACTTTTATTAATGTCACACAGACAGAGCATGAGCATGACTCCACAGCTGCTATCCAGCATTACCAACTACCCATCACACCCTACTGTTCAGTGTTACCCACTAACCCCCATACTCTTCTGCTATCAAGCATTATCCACTAGCCACCATATTGTCTCCCACTGCCAAGCATTACCTGCTACATACCATACAGTACTACTGTCTGGTATTAACTACCCTACCCTACTACCCTCCATTTTCTACTAATGCCAAGTGTTACCCACTACACTCCACGACTGTTAAGCATTACCTACTACCCATCATACTCTACTACTGCCAAGCGTTACCCACTATCCACCATACTCTTTCACTACCAAGTCTTACCCACTACCTACTAAGGCTGGCCAATTAATCGACAAGTAATCGAAACCGACATTCAGAACCTCTAATCATCGTAATCTTGCCCATGTTGGTTATTTTGATTTGGTTATTTGATTTTTTTTTAATTATGTTAATTCTTTCCCCACTGTGTGTTCATGTACTGTCTTCTTAAAAACTTACTACTGCGCTCTGCGACATGGAAGCTAAGGCTATGTTCACACAGCAGGTAAAAGTTGCCCAAATCTGATTTTCTCACCGAATCTGATTTTTTTGTTTGGCTGTTCACAATAACTTCTAAATGTGATCTCTATGCAACATCAGTCTAAACAGATCAGCTCCTAAACTGACCCGCATGCGCAAAAGAACAATGATTCACATTGCTCCACATGGCTCATCCACAGGTAAACAATCATGACTATGAACGAACACCAGTCACTCCCGGAGCTTTCATCTTCACCAGCATCACAGGAGCCATCATGAAGCTTCACTGACTGACAGCAGAGCTCATCACCCAGAATGTGTTTGAGGTTGCCGTAAAAAGAGTTTGGCCACTTCTTTGGTTCGCATCCTCGGATTCTTTAAACTTTGCTTTCAGACTTTTAACTGTTTATTGACGCAGCAGCCTCGCTCTCCTACGGCCGCATTCGGCCATGTCTTTCGAAATCTCTTCAAACATGGAGGTGTTTTGGATAAGTCTCTTCTAATTTTTGTACAGCAATATCACCCTAAATGTTTATTAGGTCTCAGCAGTGCGAAATTATGACGAATGTCGAGTTGGATTGACGAAAAGTCGCACAAATTTCAATCTGGCTGTTGAGACAATTTAAATTAAGATATGCAGAGCATATTTACAGTACAAATCTTGTCAGTGAACTTTGAGGGCAAAAAAACAAACAAACAAATAAATAAAAACAAAATAATCTTTTATTATTTGTAATCGAGGCAAAATATTCCATTAATTGTGATAATTTGAGGTTATTTTGTCCAGCACCTTCTACCTACCATACACTACTACTGTCCAGCACTGGCAACTAGCCTCCATAGCCTACTACTGCCAAGGATTACACAGTACCTACCATGCACTACTATGGCCCAGTATTACCAACTATCCCTATCTCTGCTACTGCTAAGCGTTACTCTCCACTCCCATACTCCACCTACTGCCAAGCATAACCCACTACCCACCATGCACTGCTGTCCAGCACTATAACTGTCCAGCACTAACTATCCCTCATATTCTACTACTGTCAAGTATTACCCAGTATCTACTGTGCACTACTACTGTCCAGCATTACCAACTATCCTCCATACTCTACTACTGTCCAGTGTTTACTACTGCCAAGCGTTACCCACTAACTACCATACACTACTGTCTAGCATTAAAAAAAATACCCTGCATAATCTACTACTGCCAAGCATTACCTGGTACGTACTGTGCACTACTACTGTCCAGCATTACCAAGTGTCACTATCTTTACTACTGTTCCACCACTGTTACCCACTACTCCCATAATCTACCTACTGTCAAGTATTACCCTTTACTTACTGTGCGCTACTAATGTGCAGCATTACCAACTATCCTCCATACTTTACTTCTATAGTTTACTAATGCCAAGCATTACCCACTACCTACCATGCACTACTACTCTCCAGCACTACCCTCCTTACTCTGCTACCGTCAAGCATTACCACAACCCCCAGTAATTTACAACAGCCAAGCATTATCAACTACCCACAAACACTACTACTGCCAAGCATTATCAACTATGTCCCATACTACTACTGTCAAGCATGATCACCCTCCCCTTATACACTACACTCTTAAAAAAGATCAACAGTTCCTTAGTAAAGAAAAATGTTCTATATAAAACCATGAACACTCAAAGAACCCTCTGCATGATTAAAGGATTCTTTGATTGATGGAGAATGTGTTGTATATGGTTCTATATAGAACTTTTTTGAAAATGGTTCTATATAGCACCAAAAAGCGTTCAACTATTGTTACAAGCTTGACATTGTAACAACAGAAGAACCCTTTCTGGTGCCATAAAAAAACAAAAATCAATTTAGAACCATATACAACACATTCTCCATCAATCTGAAGATCCTTTTCAAGATGCAGAGAACCCTTTAATCATGCAAAGAGTTTGAGTGTTCATGGTTCTATATAGAACTGTTTTCTTTAATAAAGAACCCCTGAAGAACCATTTTTAACAGTGCACTACAGCCAAGCATTATCAACTTATCCCTATACTCTACTACTGCCAAGCATTATCAATTATCCCCCACACCCTACTACTGCCAAGGATTATTAACTACCCCCATACACTGCTACTGCCAAGCAACTACGCCCCATACTACCACTTGCCAAGCATTTTAAACACCCCCCCCACCCCGTACTCTACTACTGCCAAGGAGGGCCGTCAAAATTGGCCAAAGGTGACATATGATAATCCCCTCTAAAAAAGAAAAGAAAAAACACACACAAGTTCTAACCATTCGAATATCTACTTTTGCACTTTATGTCCATAAGAGGGCAAACCAATGCAACAAGAGTGTTGCATCAGATTTAGTTTCCCCCCAAATTCACCTTTCCCTTCACAAATCCCCAGGAGCATGGAAACTGCAACTATGGAAAGTTGACCCAGTTCGCTTTTAATGCTGCTTTTTTCCATAATCAAACATTAACAATAAAATTTTACCATTTGATTATATAATTGAAGAATATTTGTTAACAGCCCTACTGCCAAGCATTATCAACGCCCCCCTCCCCAACCCCCAAAAATGTACTACTGCCAAGCAATATATCAACTTCCTCCATACTCTACTACTGCCAAAACATTATCAATAACCCCCATACCCTACTACTGCCGAGCATTCCCAACTGCCCACTAGGGGTTGAAATCTCTAGGCACCTAATGATTACGATTATGATTCAGAGGGCTGCGATGCGATTGTAAAATGATTATCAATGCATCTTTTTTTCTAGACTGGATTTCTTTTTTTTCCCCTCATTGTGTGACGACTTGGCACTTTTAAAGCAAAGTATTTGTAACGATATATAATGAATTTACTTCCAATATCTTTTATTAATAAATCAAACGGAAGTGATGTGGAAAGTCAACTGGAAGGCTCTCATTCACTGCTCTTGTTTGGAGCACATAAGACGCAGGCTGTCACTCATCTGTGATAAAATGTGCTGTTACGGTGAAATAAGATCCTGTGGCAATGGGTGTCCACACAGCACGTTACAGCTGTCTTACCCGTTTTATTCAGTGATTCCATAACTTCGGTTTTGGTCTCATTACAGAGAGCAGGGGGGTCGCTGTGTCAGTAAAATATCTTCGAGACAGGTCGCTGTATCTCGGCTCCAAAGCGTGCAACATAGCGCGAAAGCCCTGGTTCTCAACGACTGAGAAAAGGCGCAAATCCTTGGCAATAAATGTTACAAAAGAATGTGTAATTTGCTTCCGAGTTGGGTGGAAGCTTTGACGTCGCTTGCTTGATGGTCTTCTGGTTGGCAGCATCTACAATCGGACGGAAAACAGGTGGAAACGTGCACATGGTTTCTCATGTTTATCGTTTCCAAAATATTTTTGCTTAGTGTGACACAACTTGCATATAGTGTGGCTCCAGTCCAGGGCCCTTTTCCCTTCAACTTTATAGAAGCCAAAGTGCTTCCATACGCTAGCTCAGGGGTCAGCAACATACGGCTCTTTTGCTGCCCTGGTGTGGCTCCACAGCAGAATTAGATTTTTAGGTAAAAATAATATAAAGGATTTAAATATTCTTCACCTTCTAGATGATGTATGTTCATATTTTCAGGTAAAAGTGGTGTGAAATAAAAACACACCGGAATGAAGTTTGAGATTTACCCGGAGTTTCCCATTATCTGATTACTCAAGTGCACGAAAACGTGTTGATCGGATTACTGACAAATCTGATTTTTTGTAGTTATCGGATTATTAAGTGCATGTAATCACACTGATTGTTTTAACAATAGATGGTCTTAAACACTGCTAATTCACCACCCTATAACTCTGAAGGCTTATATTTTTTAGCCTATACTAGGACTTTAGTACATACTGAAATATATTGGACATAAAATGTAGTGGCTCCCAAGGTGATTTGATTTTTGTTGAAAGAACTAAATGGCTTTTCTTAACATTTGAGGTGCCGACACCTTACCTAGCTTGTAATGCACAGGGTGCCGGATTTCTCGCTTCCATTTGTGTTTTTGTTATGTGCCGCCACAGACTGTCCGGGCACTGCACTTTCACTCTCTCTACTTCTGCCAAGCATTACCCACTACCTACTCACAGTGGCTATACCCATCACCACTCTACTCTCCTATGTATGAATAATGTATGAATGATAATCTGCATGCAAAAGCTATTATGGCAATAAACTAGTCATTTATAAGGTTATAACCTTATTAGCTCTTTAATAATGTTAATGCAATACATTACAAATGGCACTATTTGTTATTATACATTGTACAATATATCAGAACAGTGGCAGTTCTTACCTTTGGTGGTGAATGCTGGTGCTTGCCAGGACCCTGAGGGCGTTGGGGTCTCAGGGCACGGGGGATAAACTCAGGGGCCAACGGGTTCAGTACATAGGTTTTCTTCAGCTCTAGAGCCTCCAGCTGGGCCTTGATCTGCTCAAATGTGATGCCGTGCAGACTGCTGTTCTCATGGCAGATGGAGATGAACGTTTCCCAGAACTTTCTGTACATGGACACAGAGATGTGTACAATGAGCAGGAAGGTCCACAATCACAGATGTGCTTACTGTACACAGTGCATTACACTGCTTGAAACAGGCATCTCCAGACCTTCTCCTGGAGTGCTGCTCTCCTGCAGAATTTATTTCTGACCCTTATCTAACTTAATTAATCATCAAAGTCTTTCAAAAGCATCTAAAATCCAGAGAAAACTGTGTTAGACTAGGTGTGAAGAAGACAGTAACAACTCTGCCTTGCTCCTGGAGAAGAAACCTGAACTGAAGTAACACCTTTTATTGTTACCATAAAAATCCTGCAATTTCATGATCACCTTTAGATCACAAACATAACGGCTAAAATGGGACCAGAATCCAAGTGAGAGCTTCAAGTCCTGCTGTCAATTTTTACTGTCTGGAGAATATCCAAGTTGTTGAACAGCAAGGAAACACCCTTTAAAACTGTGCAATAAACTAGTATGCGAATGCAGCCCACAAGCAGACCTGTTATGCTCACTGGCTGTCACTAGCAGTCAGAGCCGAGAACATGAGAAGAGGGGGCGGGTGGAGCTCTTTCAGGCTTTGATACCACACTGCCAGAGCATGAGAAGCACTCATATACCACAGCTTCTCAAGCTAAAAGAGCCTGTGGGGAGTACGTTTTCATTATTAAGCTAGGATTTAAATATAAGCCAGAGAACTGGAACCCATGGCACACAAAAATCTTGCATCAACAAATGAGGTGCCTTGCATTTTCGACATCACGACTCGCAGAGCGCTCAGTCCAGAAATGGCAGCGAGAAAATGTAACGGTGTGCCCATTGTTGCATATCCACATACAAAAAGATTTTCAGACGAATCAAAAAGCACACAAGCTGTAAATCTGAAAGTCAATAACCAAATCTAATCTGATTGGTAGAGCTGCCTGCTCGGATCTTAAAATGGAAACCAAAATTATGGCTGATCCTTGGTTCCATCATTTAGTGGCCATATTTCATGTCATTCTTGCTCTTGTAAGAGAATTTACTAAGACGGCTGGAGAGACATCAGCCTCAGAACTCCCAACTGAAAATGAAGACAAAGAGGATCCACAAAGACTTTTCTTTTTAGTGGCTTTGGACACGGAGCACTCAATCTCAATAAGTGGTGGAGACATCAAAGGCCCTCCAATTCTCAACAGGGCAGTCTTGTATAGCATGGCGTGGTGGGTTTTAGCAAGCAAGATTTGGTCTAATTTGGGGAAAATGAGAGCGCTAATCGTTGATGCTAATGCGAGGAGTGAGGGAGGCTTGCGTCATGGTCTAGACGGCACTGTCCTGCATCTCTGCTGAACTCATTAGAGCCATTCTGAAGACGAGCTCCATTAACTCTGACTGGGAGGCAGCTGGGGCAGGCAGAGGACACGACAGCTCCTCACACCATGCCCAGTGCGAGTGCTCTCATGAGTGCTTGCCGCTGGTGCTTTCATACTGATCAGAGATCAGTTTCAGTTTTTTTTCCATGCTTGCTAGGAGGGCTCTTTCACGTAGTCTGTAGCGATCATAATAGACAAGTGAAGCACGAAACACATGTATATAGGTCATAATGAATACTTTAAATATTCTGATTTACCTTACTAGTATCAGTACTTTCCACGGATGTATTTGTATTTTGTATTTGAAATATACTTTAAGATCCATTATAATTTGATTGCATAGGAGATGAAAGTAAAAGCTACAGTATAAGGTAAAAAATGCTGGATTTAAAAAAAAATGATCTTTTGAGCCAGCCGGTGTTAATGTTTGACACAGCACTTCTCCTCCCCCTCTCCTTAGGACCCAAAAAATGGTTTCACATAATGCGCTGAAGCTTCGAAGAGGCATATCTGATTCATCAAATCAAAGTCTTGATGAGAAAGTGAAAGATATAAATCAGATGTGATGGTTAGAGCAGCTATGTGAACCAAGCCTGAAATTAGATTAAGGTGCTCCAACAGAAACAAACAAGAGTTTAACAAGTTTTTAGGAATCTAAATCGACACTAATCACATCACATCTAAAGAGCGACATGAGTAAACACAGATGAGGCAGGGATAAAACTGCTCTGCTCGTGGTGAATCAGGGATATGTACAGAAACCTGCTTTGGAGAAAGAAAGAGTTAGTAGCTGGTCTTTAGATTACTGAGCTGTCAGCGCTGGCTGTTAAACATGCTATTGAGTATTAGGTTGGCTCAGAGGACCACATCTCCTCCTACCACAACACACACACACACACACACACACAGATTGATTTAATTGCCGGGCCTTTCGGCTTGACATTTCCTGTGGCCGGGCTCCAACGATTGGCTGACGCACGGCAGTCTCCATAGCGACAAGTGAGCTGCAGCTAGGGAGGATAGGATCGGAGAGCAGGGGCTGATGGACAGTCCTCTCAAGAACCGTGTCAACATACGCAAACACAAAACACACAGACCCTGCATTTCTCCTCCACTGCCAAACACCCTGACAGCAACACATCTCGCACTGAGCAGTGAAAACCATAGGCGCCAACTACAGAGGGGGCATCGGGTCACTTGCCCCCTAAACAGTAAAGTTGGAAGGGCAATGCCACCCTGGTCCTACCTAAGAAAAGCCATGGAGGTGAAACTGCATACAACAGTCTGAAAATAGCCATGACAGTAAAATTGCATTTAACAGCTGGACAACAGTAGGGATTTTAAGTACGTAGAGACGCTATGGCAACCAGAAAGAAACTGACTGTTTCTTGCCATCTTACAGCTACAGCCTGACATGCTGGTCTTCTACAACAGGCAAAAACACAGGTACAGCATGAGGTTTGGAAGACTTAATTTTGTGTTTTAAAAGGCCCATATCAAATTTTTGTGCGGTTATATGTATCAACCTCTCTTTACCCTTTAGAATTAAACAGGCTGTTTTGGTTACTGTGCTTCTAAAGACTAATATATGAAAATAAGCTATGTTCTGATTGGCTTTCCTATATTGCATCTCATTTAAAAATTCCTCAGAGCTGCTCCTTAAAACTTTAACATGAAAGGGTGGGGTAAAACTGCTGGAGGATGAAAGTGGATATATGTAAATGAGGTTCTCATGACAGAAATAGTGTATTGATATTAGACGGTTTTTGCATCATGGTTTCCAAATATGTTTTGAAACTTTAATAATGTTTATTTATTACTTAAAACTTTTTATTTTTAAAAAAGTGAAGGAAATTCTTCCACAATATAGTCCCTATAAATTAGAATTTTTCACCTCATAACCATCACTTTAATTAATTCCAAAGATATGTCAAGGCACAGGGATAATTTAATGCATTTTTCTGCTACATGATCTGCTCATAATATTACATAAGGCAATAGTAGAGCAAAGGAATCACATCATCTACTTCATCACAATTTTTCTAGTAGTTTATCAGAAGTTTGTTTGTAATCCACAAAGATTATGTATCTGCTAGGCGTCCAAAATGCTGTTGAAGTGATTACATCCCAGAGCGTAATTTTTTTTTAATTATTTAAAAAAAAAAATTAAAAAAAAACCACACACACACACACACACACACACACACACACACACACACACACACACGCACATATTCAGTTCAGCCACTGCAGTAGCTTCTCTGGTTTAATCCAGGAACAGAAATGCATGACATAGATCAGTGCTGGAGTATGTCACAACATGCAAATTACTCAACCAATGCTGTCACCCCCCCGATGACGACCCACCTCATGCTGCGCTAAGTGAACATATCGCTGTTGTCGGAAAAAACCTCATATCTCCAAAATGATAACTTTACAGGAAAAGGAAAAAACCTACTTTACTTTTAATATTAGTCAATGGAACCAGACTTTTTTCCAGTCATTTTGGGTCATTTCTTTTGGTCCATTCTTCATGACATTTACATACAATGTAAAGGTCAATGGGCATTTTCAAACTGTCAAAAACTGAAAAACGACAAAAACAGAGATACAAGGTTTTGTTCTGACAGCAGCGATAAGCAACTTTAGCTTATAAAGAGGCAACAACACTCACTTTTTTGTCTATTTGTATCATACTCAGTGATAAATAATAATAATAATAATAATAATAATAATAATAATAATAATAATAATAATAACAGACCTTATTTGATATTTACTTGATATTTACTACTTCATAAATGGTTTGTTAATTTGAATGTAACCGATCAGGTCGCTAATGCAATACGGTTCACGTGCCAAAATGAAAAGCATTATGTTGCTATTATTTTATCACTTGACCACTGTTATTAACAGTAGCTCATGCTGCAAAAGTGTCTTATCGAGAATCAGACTTCAAAACAAGCAGATTATGAAGACAGGACAGCACCGACAAGACACAAAAGCATGCTCTAAAACTGATTTCCCTCATTTGGTCTGGACCATCACAAAAATATGTTCCCACCAACAGCAAACTGGGCTCATCTGGATGTGACTCGAGACTTTGACTTTTGCCGAACCACAGTTCATTTGTTTGGTGCGCAGTACAGGTGTTCACACCTGACAAAATGAACCTTACTAAAGAAAAAGTTTGATAGGTCTGAATCACACAAGCAGTGAAAGTGCCTTAAGTTACAAATGAAAGGTCTGATTACACAGAGGACTGACTCCACTGCATGTAATCATGCCACCATTTCTTGTGTCTCATCTTCTGTGCTTCAGCTTCTCAGCTTCAGCATGATTACAGACAAACACAAACAGACATAACAACACACTGCCAAATGGGAGCACCATCTCAGCCAGTGTAAATCAGTCAGTCAGTGGCAAGTGCAGTAGCTTCGCACCATCTCCCTCCCACGGCACCCTGGGAAAAGGTGCCAAGCGCGTTTATGTTTTCCTCGCAGGCTCCTGACGCTAAAGGGCCCAGCATGAGGCTGGAGCATGCCAGGCCAGGCCGAGAGCTGGGACGAAAGCTGATAGAGCGTCCGGCCCTCTTCAGGCCAGCGCCACAGTGCAGACTCACGCCAAAAACACCCAGCAGTATGAGGAAACCACTCAGAGCTGCATGCACTTCTGCCCCTCTAGCTCCAGCTTCCTGCTTGGGCTGCTCAATTAACCCAATTAATAACCTGCTATAACAAAATATAAATTAATACGCTGTGCACTAATTAAAGTTCCAGTTTTGCTTTCTGAAATTAGCTTGTTGAGAAAAGGCTACAGTTAATGTACCCCCAATTAGAGGAGCTGCCTGCTGCATCGCAATCAGGCATCTCCAAACACTCCATCACATGAGCTCTCCAATCAATCACAGGACTTTTCAGCATGCGCACTGCAAGTGCACTGATCAATGGCAGACGCTCTGGGAGAATTATCGTCACAGGTGTTCAGGCAGCTTGACAAATCACAACCGTTTCTGAATTAACAGAGCACGGTGATTAGTCATTAAAATCGCCTGCACTCACAGTTAATAACATTCTCAAAATGACAGCAGTTGTCTTCCATGCAGCCCTGTTATAAACATAATTGCGTGAGAAAACACTCAAATTATCTTCACTCACCTCTCGCCCTACAGCCTAAGGTGTGTTTAAAAAATTGACTCCAACTGATTTCGGGACTGCCTTACTGATTGTATCTGATTACCTGCAACGGCCCACAGAGCATAGCGCGATAGGGTCTCCCACGACGGCCACCAGGGACTGGGCACGCGTGATGGCAGTGTTAAGAAGTTTGTAGTTGGACAAGAAGCCGTAGTCCAGGTCCTCTGTGGAGTCCTCCACCAGCTGCTCCTTCCTTTTGATGGCAGTCTGCTTGTGCTTGCAGGTGTGGCGGGTGCGAACGGTGCTCAGGAACAGCACTCGAAACTGCTTACCTATAGGAAGTAGAGAGAGAATTACTGTAACACAAAACTTATTCACCGCGTAGCACTGTAACGTGCCAAACAGCCCAGGAAACATATACTCTACTATTCAGTTTTGATGCACAGGGACCCGTTAATAAACATTTCTTTAATTGTTCCAGCTTAGACAACTTGGCTAACTGGGCAAGTACAGAGAAGATATACATGCTCAAAAGGACTTGATTCCCCACCCCAGCATGAATACTACACTACACCAATGATGCACAGAAGTCACAGTTCAGTTCACACCCCGGTTTGGATATCACGGTTTGGTTCAGTACAATGGGGGAAAAAAAGCAACAAAAACCCTAGATGCATAAGGCTAGGCTCATATTTTTATTTATTTTGAAAAGACAGTAGTGCAAGTTACAGTTTATTCCACCTAGTGTATTCCACCTAGTTCCCCCTGAGGTAGCTGGTACAGTCTGTTGTGTATTAAGCAGTAAAATGTAAAATGTAAACAGTGAACATACATTTCAGTGCTTCATACATTCGGTCATATTTTTATGTAGGACTGATACCTTAAAAGGCAATAGGTCACAATCAGCTACAAAACTGAAAGGCATCTCTTATGCTATAAAAAGAACCAAATTAAATACAGTAATAAAAAATAATATTGTGCATTAGGAGAAAAGTTCCAATTTGTTCCACTTAGGTCATATTCAAACATTAAAAGCTTAACCCCAACCCTCCCAAAGAAAAGACAGAAAAAACAACCTTGCTAGTAGGGAGGGACAGCTTTTACATCCAGGCAGCATTTTGCCAACTGGCAACTTTGGTAACTTCCTCATAAAAAAATAAACAAACATTTTCATATTATAATGCATTACTCAGTTAAATGTAGACAGCAAACTCTCCCATTGGCCATATTCTTATGCCGACTTATGGCTGTCTGAAACTGAAGGCAGCTGTCTCGATGCCTTGCTGCCAAAACTGTCTCATAAGTCAGTGTCTCAGAAGGCAGCATTGTAATGAAGGTATCTGCAACCAAATCATGTTTGAGGCACGGCTGAAAGGCAGTCATACGTCACAACGTTGCCAAGATACCGACGGTTCACTTCTATCTGTTAGCGTTAGATGGAAGGATGCATCTACACTGCTTTCAAAAAACAGCTGAACGGAGGAACGTCGGCAGGCAGTGCTTTACGCCAACATTAGATTTGGACATGACTGTGACTCTTCCTGCCTCAGAATACTGCATGAGTAAGCAGCATTGATTGCATTTCAGACACAGCCTTACAGGCACCAAACTGAAATGCATCTTTTAGTAACGGCTTACAGCTTTAGGTTTCCAGGAGGAACTCGTGTTTGTGAAATTTGGTTTAACATTATGTTCACTAATCTTCGCACATAACGCATATTTTCTGTACAACTGCACGCACCAAAATCCATACAGTTTCAGGTAGAATACATGTACCATTACACCCATAATACCAATAAGAGTCCTTGGGCAAGACGCCTAGCACTATATCTGCCACTATCTCTGTAAAACAGTTATTTTGTATTATATTCCATAGGCATGGGTTTTACCAAAAAAAAAAAGCTTTTTTCAGGCAGTTATTATAAAGCTGCATCTGAGGGGGTTTATGGTCATTACGTTGTTCTTGCCATAGTTTCAGTTTCGTGCTCCTGTAGCGACTGCTGCAGCCTGCACATTGACCCAGAACATGTCAGAGGCATTTAATGGGACATAAACGACTCAGCCAAAACTTTAATGAATGACACTTCCTTTCTCCAACTACATATTTTGGCCATAAACCTTGAAATACAGTGCCCAGAAGAATAATAAGGTGGATTGTTCTGTATACTGAAATCTATGTAAGATGGAGAAAACCTTCTTTGGAGGCTAAGCTTGCTCTCTGTGATTTTAGATGTTGAAGTAATTTGAATTTGCCGTCATTATTAGTGGACAAAACGAAGGATTATATCATATTACTGTGAGGAATGAGCACCTGAGGACTTGCACTCCTTCATAAGGCAATTTCAGTGCAATAGCCCAGGTAGTCAAACATCTCATCAATTATGCACAAACCAATCTAGCTCTTCAACCATCGCTGCTCCTGCAAGCGTGCTAAAACTCACAGCACTTAAGGGGCTTGCAGTTACTCCTCTCTTTTCTTGACTCTTCATGCTGGTCTAGGACCACTGATCTTAATCAGCTGTGTGGTAATTGGGCACTCCGTATCAAAATATATCACATCTTTTTATGTCTGCACTCTAGTCGGGTACATTCACTGATGCAGATACTGCAAAAATATGTAGGTCAGAAAATTCACTTGTGCTTCATTTTGATTGCAACCTGATTTTGTCTTGGACTGACCACATCAGAGCAGCTTTTATGGTAATGCATGATAGGTGCCTTGCAAAATCAAATTAATAAAATTTTCTTTTGCTCCAAATGCGGTGAATCAGCTGAAATGTCCAAAGGTGTCCAAAATTTGTTACTTTAACTTTGGTGCTATGAGGCCAATTTAACTAACATGTATTACAAGCGTATACCTCACCAATTAACAATGAGCAAACTGAAAATCTATCTATAAAAACAGACAAACACATGTTACACAGCCACAAGCTGTAGCATCCAAGTCTGGATCAAAATCTGGCTCAATTCTGTCTGTACTGGCCCCACCAGATATTACTGTGGAGCAGTGAACGACATGATCAATAATTCAGTATAACAACTAACACATTTTTTTTTTTGGTAACTAACATTGTTGTGTGTTTATTATATATATGACAGTGGCAGGGCTGTACGATACATTCCAAATATCGTCCTGTACCTGTTGTGTAAATGCCAGTAGGCTACCCATTTCTTCTAGCAGTCTTCGTTGGGTGAGCGTGTGGCCAGCCTGTCAGTGTTTGTTTAACCAAGTAAGCAGTTAAAAAAAACACTGCACTTGTTTAATGCGCCTTCAATAACCAGCTGTGGGTTACGATCACATTGGCCCCATGCTGAGAGCAGCCAACAAAAATAATAAATTTACATATGTCCAGACGTTTAGTAACGTTGTTTACAGTATGACCGTTCCTATGCAGCTAGCAATTACTCCTCATCGGTTGTGGTAGTCATTGATAATAGTAAGACAATGTAATGAGTCAAGTTGAAAATTTAATAAAAGTTAAATTCGGTACCAGCCATTACAGCAGAAATTAGAAATTAAACGTTTGGGACCACACCAGCCAGAGGATTTCAACATCGTTCAGTCTGGAAAGGACAAAAACTGCTCTTTCAATCCAGAGTGCTTCAAGAAAAAACTTGATTACTGTGAGTGTAGCTAAATACACTCTTCTGCTTTCCTTCCCAGCACTTGCTATGATATTGCTTTAATTCATTCATGGATTGGTGGTAAAGTTTTTGACAAGTTTGCCCAGATAAAAGATCATCGGGCAGCTTTTCTTTTCAAGCAGTGACAGTCACTGGTGAGCCATTTTGCATTATTACAGGTTGTGTTATTCCTAGTGCCTGGAAAGCAACAAATTCCCTTGCTCTAAAATGTTGTTGTGGATGTGTACTTACCGACCACAATGATCGCATACTGCTAGTTAACTTTGGATTTGTAACACAATGCTGTATAAGCAGGTTTTGTGAGATCTAATGTCATTATCATATCACTCATATTCCTGTCCCCACTTCCACTCCAGCACCACGTTATGTTAATTTGTGAATGTTGATAAAGTGTATTTGTGTTTGGATCAGGCTTATGCATCATTTCATTGATGAGTAGGCTGCTGTTTTTTGCACCCCACCAGGCTTTCTGTGGCAGAGACGCCACTGCATTAGTCTTATAACTCCAGTGCAAAACTAAATAAGTAAACCTCCAAGATCCTTGCCAATCGACTACATTTGGTGTGGAAGAAAAATAACATAACAATCACTAAAACTACCATAAGAAGAGCTCCAGAAGTTATCAGGTCTTCCCTCAGCACTGAGCGTGCTTACACACTCACCCTGGACATTGAGCACTCTCTCCACGCTGACCTCAGGCATTCGCTTCTTGCGGAGCTCGGCACGGATGCGAAAGACCTGGTCAGCATAGGGCGACACCACACCAATGCTGCCCTCGTCAAGCTTTCCCCAGGCCACTGGCCACTTCTTCCTCATTTCCTCCACACGCTCCACGATCTCAAACACCTACACGCACACACAGACAGACAACAGTTTACAGAGGTTAAACTCCACTGCTTTTTGACACTGAAATTTAAACTCTGCTCAACATCAAACAGTGATGAAACTTCAAGTTTCATTAACCCTTTGAAACCCACACAAAAAGTGTCTATTGCTGCTGTTGTGTTTGTGACCTGTAAAGATTGTGACCTAATAATCAGACTTTTATTCAGCTTTTGTCAGAAACTACCATCTTGAAAAAGGAAACATGATAATTAGGAATGTAACCCATTGGCTGCGCCTTATTACTCTGATTTAAAAAACAACAAGGTCTTAAAAAGCACTGTGCAGCCGACAGGAAACCAAGCATTGTGCATATTTTGCACAGTGATGGAAAACATGGAAGCACACAAATCTGATTCTACACACTGAAATTTATGAAAAAAAAATGTATTGTATTAAATAGCATTGCAGAACAACAACAATTCTGAGTGAGCAAGTTCAGAACATCGTGTCTTTGGTAGGCTGGCAAGTGGTGCGCTACCTCAGCGTTGTTGTAGTAGGCCGTGCTGTTCTTCTCCTGCACATCCTCCCCACGGGCCGTGAAGAAGGTCAGAGGGTAGAAGTCCTTATGGGGAGGCTGCTTGCCACTGGCCATCAGCTTGCCCTCATAAAACAGGTCCGACGTATAGCTGCAGTCGCCGGAAGCAAACTACACAGTCAGCATTGGCTGCTTCATAAAGGTCATTTAACAGTCTCAGATCCTTCTTTACTATTCATAACACATTTAATTACACTGAAAGCTTCACATACAGACTACTGCCCTTTAACAGGTCTGTCAGAGATAATAGACCACGCTACACAGGTTATCATAAGCAAAGAAGCAATCACATGTGATAGTCATCAAAAGATAAAAGCAGCTCTTTAAAGGACCGAAACCATTGTAAATTACATTGCAGAGGAGGGAGAAAAAATTATTTGTTTCAAATTATGCAACAGGAAGTGCATTGGATTTCCTGAACTTTCTTGCAAGCAAATTATGAACAATAAAAGTCTCAACATCAATTTCACAGCTCATGCATTGTTCTTACCTATGAAACCCAAGAAAATCTGCCACAGCACAATGTATGTAGATTTTATGCTAAATGATTCATCACAAACAGATGCTATGTAAATTTCAGTACAGAAGACACTCAAGGTATCTGTTTTAATTAACATTTCAGCACTCAAGCTCACCAATCAAGGACAGTTTGCTTCTCTTTGCTGACTTCCAAAAAGCTGAGACATCCAGAAGGTATGAGAAGGCAAGGGGAACTTTCATTATGACCAAAATGCAGCCAAAGTGGCAAGGAACTTCTGAGCTAAAGAAGAATGAACTGCTCTGCTAGGTTTTGTCACCTATCATCCTCAGCACGTATCACTGAGAGCCAGAAGAATCATGACAAAATGTGTTAAAGCTGCTACCTGACTCTGTACCCATTTTGTGTGTTTGTGTACATGTCTCCACACAACAGCACACCGCTGTAGTTGTGTTTGCATGTCTGTCTCCTCAGGAAGAGCGATGTGAAAAAGTTCACACCTACTTGATGATTGCCTCATGGGAGCGGTAGTTTTCACACAGCAGGATCCTGCAGGGATACTCAGAGGGATAGTGCTCGTACAGCCGGTCGAGTAGAGACACATGCAGGTTCCTCTCCCGTGCAAACTCACTGTACACAAACGGACTCAGCTGGAGAGAACAAAGGATATTTCACAGTCAAAAAATGGAAAATTTTATGAGCTGAAACTTAATTAAATCTTTATCAGAGTAAAATAGGTCTGTCAACATTGATAATTAATTATCATACCTATCAATTATTTTGACAATTATTTGAGTGAGTTATACAACTAATTGAATTGAACAAGACTTAGACAAGCCTAGTTTTGCTACCATCGGATGCATGGTATTTGTGTCACATTACATTCAGGGTGACAAATTAACATTAGTTCACCTGCCCATAGTGTTTAGTGAACACACTTCGATTATCTAGACACGTTTTGTCAATAGATATAAAAATTTTACACCACTAGCGCTGCTAATACATAACAATAAATAATAAAACGAATTTCTAATGTCTCCGTAAATTCGTTTAACAATTTTGACATACTGTATCTAATGTTATGTCCATGAAGACTGATTTATTTAGCTCTCCAGGACTATTTGTTAGCAGTAACAGACTCTACTGATCCTACTCCGGTTTCCTTTCGCACACATTTACTCAAATGAGCTGGCCAACACTGCATTTTTCAACTTTTTACAAATTGGTAATTTTAAAAATAGCAGCTCACACATCAAAATACTTCTTCAGTTTACATTATAGTGCACTTATTGGTTATGTATTAGTGCTAGATGACTATCTACTCCAGAAAGAGTGAGAATGTGCCAAGTAGTACTCCTTCTACATTTGAAGTGAGAATTTTTAACAGAAGTCAGACACAGCCTGAGCTCAAAAACACTACACACCACTGCGTTACTGCACTCATTATTAGAATGAGCTTTTGTCATTTTTGTAAAACCCATGATGTGTTTCAATTGTGTTTTCTGCTTTCGTCCACTGTTTTTATATTAGCCCCTTGTACAACATTGTTCCATTTACTTAGGTGTATATTGAAATCCACTGTTTATCTTCTCTCCACATGCGCATTGTAACAATGGCTATATCAGTCACTGACTCTGTAAGAGACAGCACGTCTTGCAGCTAAGCGGTCCAGCAAAAACAACTGGGGGGGGAAAACTCTATATCAAACAATAACCCATGCACAGCCTTTCAAACATTCCACAACACTAAACTATAATGAAGTAAGTTTTCATTAAAAAAATATATAAACATAAAACACGTGAAACTATAGGCAAAAAATGCATAGAAATGGGTGTCCATCATTGTTGCTTAATAGCGCTTATTGAAAATGTCAACTAACCATTAATCCAAAAAGTAAATTTTAATTCATTATTTTTTTACCATGTTTAATCGATTAAGCACAACAGCCCTATATACACACAACACACTTTCACACTCATGGTAAACGCACATTACACCTCTTTGTTAATGAGGCCTAAAGCCTAACATACAGTTCTTCACATTCAGGGCAGTGCAAAATTCCAGTGGAGCCACTGGTCTGCTGAAAGTCATACTACTTTTCCATCAAACCTTCTGGCATGCGCATTAGTATCTTAACTGTGCCAAAGTGCATTCACAAAACTAGTTGTGCACATATCTATGAACACCATAACATTCAAAAACGACAGAAAATATACATAAGGTCCCACTAATATTTCAGTAGTGCAGCCTTCCTTTACACTGCATTGTTCACTTGCACAGCAGCACGCACTGATGTAGCCAGTCCTCAGATAGTCTGAGGAGGAGGCACACAAGAGGTGAGAGCTGAATAATTAAGGCTGGGGGAAGTGAGGGAGGATATGAGGGTTTTATCTAAAGGGCAGTTCATTAGCAGCCTGTTTGCCGTCCTGTGCCTGTCTGCTGGGATAGATACTTCCTACGTCTCCTCTGTCTGCCATTCAGGAAGCCAAAGGTGAATGTAATTTCCAATCTAATATCTACGTTGGCCTGGATTCAGTAAACTAACAGTATCCAAATTTGTTAGTCAACCTCTTTAAAAGACACAATAGAAAAGTTCGCACATTTTTAAAAAATTTATTTATTTTTCAAAACCTTAGGAGTCTGCATGTGGAAAATTAATAGTTTTAATTAAAGAGTATGATTAAAAACTGTTAGTTACATGTTAAAGGTACATGTTTAATGTACAAGGTAGATGTTTCATTCACTTAAATCTTTCATGAATTTTCAAAGTGAGTCAATTTCAAAACTTTAGTCATCTGTTAGTAATCTTTTTTTTTTATTATTTTTTTTTATTTTACCCGATTTTCTCCCCAATTTAGTCGTCTCCAATTCCACCCGCTAGTTAGGACTCCCCCAATCACACGATGCTATCAACGCTAGGAGGGTGAAGGCTAACACAGGCTTCCTCCGAGACCTGTGAAGCCACCAACCGCCTCTTTTTGAACTGCCGCTCACGCAACGTCACTGGACAGTCAAACGCGCTCGGAGGAAAGCGCCAACCGCCAGATCTGTTACGTCAGCTAACAGACACCTGTGCTGACTAGCATCGCGCTGAGTGATGGGGGGGAGAAGGAGGGGCCATCCCATCCACCCACCCACCCAGAGAGAGTGAGGCCAACTGTGCTCTCTCGGACTCCCGGCTACGGATGGCTGTAGCATCACCAGGGATCGAACTCGCGATCTCCTGATGATAGGGCCAACGCTTAGACGGTTGCGCCACTCGGGAGCCCTATCTATTAGTAATCTAACTGTTCCAAATTTCTTAGTCACTTTCTTTCAAGGAACAATGAAACATTATCTATTTAAGTTTCCACACACTTGCAGCAGGGCTGGGACCACTTATCCGATCAAATAATTACTGATAAAAGCTACACAGAATTTAGTGTAGAATGAGTATTCTGTGTCATGATCCTTCATCCACAACTCCAGTCCTTGTTTTATTTCAATTGCACACATATTCAAGTCAAAACTGTATAAGAAGCAGTATCTTTTGTGGATATCTGGTTTAACTTTTGATCTTTGTGATCTTTTCACACAGATCTTCATTTCACACACTAAAACCTTTAATCCTAAGGTGCCTTTTTATTACACACTGAGAATGAGATCTTATAGCCAGCGTGACCAAAGATGCAGACAAAGATGCCCTTCTGGTGTCAATGAAAACTGTCCAAGATATATAACATCAAAATACCTGTGGTGTTAAATAATTTACCAATAATTTTGTCCTGATTTGTCAATTTTTCATAACCATTTATCATCCTAGCCATAATTAGCAGTCTGTGAGCTATGGGCATATCGTCCCTCCCTAATTCCGTCTTCACAGAAACATAGTACATCCTATTCCAGCTTCCACAAATCATGACGCTAGCACTGTGATCAGCATTCAGCCAAGAACCTGCAGCAGTTGTGCAAAAAGCAAAAACAGTTATCATCATGAGGAGGGTGATGGATGCAGACATAAGGGAAGGGTTGCAGTGCTTGTCATGTCATGACATATCTCTGTCACACTAGTAAACTGCTTTACTAGTCACACCCAGACATGGAGTTTTCATTCTGGGATTAATGTGTTCTCAGCAGTGATGCGTCCATCTCCGTACCTGCATGTGGTCTCCAGCTAGGACGATGCGTGTGCTCTTACTGGCCAATGCCAGCGGCATGATGGTCTCGCACTCCATGGCCTGGGCTGCCTCGTCCAACAGAATGTGTGTGAAGAGCCCTTTGGATGGATGGACACACACGCGCACACACACACACACACACACACACACACACACACACAGTATGAAATATTCATTACGAGGAGCTTCACAGAAGTAGGCATTAATAATCTATAACTGTGGCCAATGCGCATGCATACATACATGAATACATACAAGTGTTCATATACATAATTGCACCAAACAGTTATTTACTTAAACAACTCTTGTTCAAACACTTCTCTAAGAGAGAGTGATCTGGACAGAAGCATCTGATAAAACAGTTTAGCAGAAGCAGAAGAAGAACAAGAACAAGAAGAAGAAGAAGAAGAAGAAGAAGAAGAAGAAGAAGAACAAGAACAAGAACAAGAACAAGAAGAAGAAGAAGAAAAAGAACAACATAAAAGCTGAAATGGTCACTTTATATAAAGTACACAAATTGATTAAACTTCCTCTTTCAAATGCACGCAAGAGCTCTTAGGGCTAAATAACTAATCGCATTTATATCAAAATCGGAATGTGAAAGAACAAAGTTTCCAAATCACAAGAGCTTCAATTACAATTATGTTTTACATTATTCAATGTTGTCTCAAGTTTTAAGTAGGGAAATTTAATGTAATAATGCAGAGTTCATGATATGGCAGCATGTCACACTACATTTAGTGTGCAAGCCTTGGGTCTGAAAAAAAATGAATATGTTGGTCTTCTCAGCCAAAACACAACAGGACAAACAACTTAATTTACAGAAAATAATCGCTGGTCAAGAAACCAGCAATAGATTTTTTTTCTCCAGATCATTCAGCCTTAGGTGTTATGATATGCATTATTCTTACAGCAGACTTATTAGACAAATATTGGATGCTTTTTTAAAAAAAATTATTTTATATATATATATATATATATATATATATATATATATATATATATATATATATACACATATATATATATAGTTTTGTTTTTTCATTCATATGTAGTTGACTGTAGTAACTGACTTTAACATTATTAATCTTCATCCTCAGCTGTGGATGTTATCTCATCCCACATTAAGGAGACTGGAGTCTCCTGGAATCTCCACAGTATGCGAAATACTGAATAAAAATCATTGTGCTTACAGTTTTTCATACATTTTTTTAAAAATGTAGCACAATGGGTTTTTATCTCTATGCCCCAACTGATCAGATGTCTGAAAAAGGTATTGTGACACATATCACAAAAATTTCTTGAACTATCGGAATATATTTTTGCCGTATTGCCGTCTAAGTAGGAGGCTCCAACTCTAAAGGCCACTGCACACCGGACGCACCGCATGCGGGCATAGCATTAAATAGCAGAGCATGGCTATAGAATGCCAGCAGCAAGAGCTGTTTTTACACTTTACTCGTATAAATCAAATAAAATAAAGCATTCATCCCTCATCATGGTTGTCATCAGTTTACTTCCTCCTCACAGACTGGCTGTTTTTGAGCTAAAAGAAACAAGCTAAAAGACTAGGATAACAACATTTGCTGAGGTAACTTACTATTGACATTTGTCTGTTTATCTAAAACACTGGCTGCCTTTCTCTGTAAATTTTATGCCACAGGTGGCTTTGTGCCATCTCAATATGGCTTTAATGTAATGTAGTAATGGCAAAATGCTGCATGGCGCACTGTGACGCACTGAGAAACTGGACGGTGCTCGTGGTCATGGAGCACTGGCGCGTTGCGTCAGCGCAGGTGTGTGCGCTTCCATTAAAAACAATGGTGTCAAATTTTTGGTTACTGCATGACGTGACACGGCACGTCCAGTGGCCTTGACACATCTGATCCAGGTAATCAACACCTTCAGGAGCATCCACAGATTACAGCTAGGCACACTGAATCTGAGCTCTCCAGGATCCGAACTGGACACCCCTGATTTCCACATTTTCGGTCCTGGAAGCAAACGTCTTTTAGCCCTTTCTCTGAATACGCTTGAAACTTACCAAAGTACAAAACACCGAACACTGACTAGACATCAGTCTCAAGCACCTCAGTAACAAGTTTAAGAACCACATAGATCAGGGGTTCTCAATCCCAATCCTGGCAACCTCACAGTATGAAACTCTTGGTGATTCGTATGATCTTGCACATCTGATTCAACTTAACTAATTAACAGCTCCTAATTGGTTGGGTCATGTGTGGAGTAGGGAAAATATTAAAATGTTCACAGTATGGGGTAGCCAGGACTGGGAACCCCTGGTGCAGATACTGTCAAACAGCAATTCAATGAAAGACTTAACTGGAAGATATCTACACCCTTAGTTATGTGGCATTGAGTTATATACCAGCATTATTCATCAGCACTCTAGTGCTTTATCTAACACAAGCACATTCAGCCACAGTGGTTACCTTAGCTATCTAACTTAGCTTAAACATGCACTGGGTCAGGTGTGACACAGCAGAAAAATCCAAAATATGCAGCACACAGGCTCTCCAGCACTAATAACATAACGTCTTAGATAATGGCCTTGGTTATTAGCATCAATTCCGAATAAAACACAGCCCTCTCTTCAATTTAAAAGTGATGATTACTACCAGATTTTTTGTTTTCTATAAACTGCATAGTATATTGAGCTCATAGTTGGCTCTGGGGCATGTTTTATACGCTGAAACCCAGTTAACTTCAGCCGCTTGAATCTTAGAATATATTTCACTTGTGTTTAATAACAGGTTTTCCGTCTACCTCTTCTGTTGCAAATTCTCTAAAAGGTGCAAAAACATGGACAGAAAAGTTAGAAACCTAGGGGGTAACGCTTCACTGTAGGGTTCTGTCCATAAGGTTGCATAAGATCTACATAAGATTGTTATGACAACAGACCAGACATATCCCTACATAAATGTTAATTCCAACAGGTGTCATTTGCTATAAAGGTTACATTTGCCAATTTTGCCTTTTTGACAGATAATGCATACTGGAAAAAGCATAGTTACCAAAAAAAGGCCTAAATTTTGCAAAAACTGTTTTCACGCTTGGATGAGGTGGAAAATTTGGTTTATCAGTAAAAATGAAATGCAAAAAGCAGTGGTGGAAAAAAGATTTTTAAAATAAAATAAAAAATTTGCAGGGATTTGCTGGGCGACAGCAAAGTGTGCCACGGTGGCATCTCTGAACTGTTAGGACTATAGCCATGTACAGCTGACAGAGAGCTGTCAAAACTGCCTTACAGAGAGGTAATAAAGGTCCAAACTCCTCTATTGTATACACCACGCACGTTGAGCGAGACGCCTGGGTATACTCTGGTACCCGCCATATGCCAGGCTGTGCCATTCAGGCTGTCCACTCTATTTATAGGTAACACTTGATCCTGTGTATGCTGTTTTGGCCGCAGCGTGTGTCGCAAGCATGTCACGTCATCTTCAGTTCACAGATAGTCGCTGTTAATGTAAAACAATGATTAACTTGCATTTTCTTTTACAGACTTTGGAAATTTGCCCAAAATTTGTGAAATATTTGAATGGAAACCCTGCTGACATGAAACCTTTTGCAATTCACTTGAAACTTTTTTGACACTCGGCCACAACAGCTACAGTTCATGAAACATCAAATGCCCAATAAATGTTCAACATGCTGACATTATCCAGGTTGAAATATGCTTAAAGTTGCTTATTTGCTGATAACCAGTTAACTTAACTAGCTAATGTTAAAATGACAGCTGTTGGAACAATTATTATGGAAGCCGAGATGCAGCAATAATGTTACAATTGATGAAAACTCCTAGTTAGGTAAAAATTGAACTTGAAAAAGAGACAAAAGCTACTACACTCTCAGAAATAAAGGTATGAAACTGTCATAGGGATGGGCTCAGTACCTTTAGTCAGGGAACATAATTGTACCATAATCCATTGGAATTATTTTCTAAGTTGTATTGACTCTGTATTAAACAACTGGACCTTAAAACCACTGTTGTACCTTTGAGGGTACATTTACATTGTTTGTACCTTGATGAATGAAAAATGTACCTGCACGGCACCTTTATTTCTAACAGTGTAACCTTACGAATGAACTAACCAACAGAATAATAAGATGTGCCGCATGTGACCTCGACTGTTTTAAAATTGCTTTGCATAATTACAAAGTTAAATGAAAATGTTTTCTTTGGTTTGCATGAAAATTTCACCATGTAGAGCCAGCCTCACATATAAAAGACAGAACTTGTTTTCCTTCTCGCAAAGTCTATACACAGCCACTCCACCCTGTGTCCGCTCCATCGCCCACACCACACCATCCCCTGTGGTTCCACAGCACCACTGCCATAGAAAAGAATATCCGACGCTGAGTAGGTGTCACGGCACTGTGCTTTTGCCACCTCTGGCTAATACTGCAACTCCAAGAGCTTGTTTCAGTCATGTTGCTCCAGCAGCACTGACTCTTACTGAACGGTTAAAAAAAAAAAAGTCAGGAGGAGGCAAAAAGAAAGAAAAGGAGGGGGGAGAGGAAAGAAGAAGAGCCGACAGTGGGAGCTAATGATGCTGAGTGTGTTAGACAGGCAAGCTGGGTCTCTTAGCAACAGATGATCCTGCGAGCAGACACATACAAGGCAGGAATTAGCCTCTCCTAATAAACTGTTACAGACCCCAACACTTCTTTCAGGGAAAATGTCTTTTTTTTTTTTTGCCATCGTGTATCAGCTAGAGGAGGAGTTCTACTGTGTGCCTTTTGGCCGTTTGTGCTAAAAACATTGTCTTCATCACGACTTTAAGCTCAACATGAAAGCTAGCTGCAGTTTTTTTGTCTGCTCCAGCAAGCTCACAGGGGAGAGAGAGAGGAAGAAAAGAGCAGAAGAGAGAACGAGAACAAGAGTAATAGTTCAGCAGAGCAAAAGCAAGAGCACAAGCTTAGGTTCTTTGGTTTTTGTGCAGTAGAAGCATTGATTTAAGTAAGGGGTAGAAAATCCAATCAAAAAAAATCCCACACACCTTCAATACAGGCACTTACTAACTTTGTCAGCAGACACAAAAAAAAAAACCTGGTTTAAGTAAGTCGAATGTACACACATGTATATGTACTCACCAGGCTCTAGATCAAGCTGACAGAGGTACTGGGAGGTGCTAAGTGTCACTACCACCACTCTGTGCTGCTCTATGTCCTGCCGAGTGGGCATCTGGAAGGTGAAGTAAGCTCCAGAGATCAGGCAATACTGCTGTACCAACGGGTGCACTGTCTTCACCCAGCGGTTCCTGAAGTAAACCCTATTCACACACCACAGAGAAGAACACACCAGGAACAATGATTAATGAAAGCTTATGAATGATGGAGTAAACAGTAAAGCTGCTCAATATTAACCAGTCCCACCAGAATCTCACAGCCATTTTCTGTAATATGCAAAATGCTTCATTTCTGATTCTCAATCTAATATAATTCTCTAACATGTCTAAACATACTTTAGTTCCTAAAAGAAAAACCGAAACCGAAAAGATACCGAAAAGAAAAAAAAGGTACCTCTGTGAACCGATACAGGCAACACTCGGGATTAAAACGGGAAAATTCAAACAAGGAGCTGGCGAGTTAGAAGCTGACTTTAGCTTCGTGTTATAGTTGAAATGCATAACCTTCGATTAGCTGAAAAATAAATCAGAGCGTAAACTGCACCGCTGAGAAGCTGCTACAAGGCTGCGATTTTCAGGTTCTTGCTTAGAATCTCCCTCTTCAGGTACATACAAATAAGGCCACGTTGATGTGATCAGATTTCCAGCCCGCGCCATACTGAGGTGCTTACACCTTAGATTTCTGTTTGTTAGCCAGCTAATCGGAGGTTTTGCATTTCAACTATATTGTTAACACAATGCTAAAGCCAGCTTCTAAATTGCCAGCTTCTCGTTCAAATTTTCCTGTCCTAACTTCAATGGTGCAGCAGGTGCTGGTGAACAGGAAGCAAACTTCAGCCACCTATTGTTAACTGTAAATTTGTAACTCCAAAATGACCTGAATATGAGCTGGATGAACAATATACTGGCATGTTATCTCCCTTTTTTGGGGGGTGCAGATGCCCTACAGACAATGGGAGAAAGGATGTTAGGGATCTTGGTCAACGTTAATGTTACATTATCTAACGTTAAATGTGAGGTTAGCGAGCTAAAACAGATTAAAAAAAATAAATTAGCTAATTTTAGCCTGCACATTTTGCTACATTCTCATGCTAGCTACATCACTGTATAGACTCAAATGAAAACTGTCATTTAAAAATACAGATAAATCATCATGTCATCCACCTTGCATCCAGTCAGTGCCAGGAAAGACGTTCTCTTCAGCTTGAGACATGTATTGAGGCCAATTTTCAAATGAGTCGGCAATAAACGCTTGCTACAAACTCTTGTACGGGGTGCCAATTCATCCCCAGAAAACAACTCGAGTCATTTTGATTTGATTATGGTTATTTGGAATAGATTGCAGAGAGTAACCATTCTCCCTCCTGCATCAAGAAACCAAGCATTTGCAAATGAGTGCCATCTCCTACTAGTTATAACGTTACTCCAGCAATATGAAGTGTGGGAGAGTCAGCTGATTTCACAGCTCATGAATATGCAATATAAGGTAGCTTATGATTTACTATTATCTATTAGTGTTATCCGTGACGTCTCAGATCACATCAAATAAAGTGTGATTCCTAGATGGTGCTTAAGGGGCTCTCTGCAGTGCCCAATAAATGTTAGACTGAGGCAGAAGAATAAAGATAATTACACACTTCCTACTAACATAACATTTTGAGTAAGGAGGAGAAAATACTGTGCTTGGCCTTTATTAAAACAATTCAAAATATTTAAACAACCAATAAGTTTGTGTGAAATGTGATTTGTACTGCTTAACATTAACAAACAGTGTATGATTCCCTTCTGAGTAAAAAGAGCAGAATACTAACCTGTTCCAATCAAAACAAGCTATGTCAGGTTTGTATAACATTAGAGAACTCAGAGCTCCGGTAGCATGGGTCCATTAACTTTATAAACGCACACTTTAACATCATCTGATACCATGATATATTTATGGGAACAAAGGTGATGTTTCTTTTTTTCTATACCACTCAGCAGTTCTCATACTGCAGAAGTCTGAAAGAAACAAATAAATCTTGGCCAATCCCATATTTATATATTCTTTAGGTGTTCAGATGCATCAAGACATTCACATGACCAAATAAATGGAAATCCTTAATGTCAAACCACGCAACACCCAGTATTTACCAAAGTACTTTAGCATAAAGCATGCCACATCACAATCACAACCTGTAGCAGAGAAACTGCAATATGAGATTTTTTCCATATTGTGCAGCCCTGGTAAGGAGGTTTAAAAAGCTAGCATGGTACCACAGACAAGTCTGTATCTACCACAACTGCTTTAGGTACATAATGATAAGGCAAAAAAATCCTGAAGTCTTATGAAGCCCATTTCTGTGTACAAACACAGTATGCCACTTAGCTCTTTTTGGGTTTGGGTGCTACCTGAGAGGTCTTGCGTGAGGATTGCCTGCCTCCACATATGGATGAAGGTAGTCCTTTATATACAGATCTGCGGCACTGTTTGAATGGGTGCAGATGAGGACCCTGAGAAAACATACACAGTACAATACAAATTCAAAACACTCAACACAGAACAGTGCACATCTGTAGAGGTTTAACAACTGTAAGGTGTCACACTTCAGCAGTTACTTTAAGAAAATCACGTATCAAAACATCTGTCTTTAAAGAATGAAGAATTTCCACTGGGAAATCTTAAAGGTCAGAATATGGCTAGATAGACAAGTCAGGGCTGGATAAAAGTTCTTACAGCCCTGCTCCCAAAGAGGTGGTACTCACCGTGTGTCAGGCTGCTTGAGGATGTGCTTAACGGCCTGGGCCAATGTGAAGGTTTTGCCTGTGCCATAGGGTCCAATGATAAGCACAGGGGGGAGGTTGATGGAGAGGGGTGTGGTGATGGCCAGAATGGCTTCCTTCTGTTTGGCGTTCAGACGAGGATCCAGCTGCTCGTCCCATTGCCTGCAGCAAGGAAGAAGGTTTCAGACTCTCAAAGAACACAAACAACTACACAGCTGTCCCTTACCAAGCGAAGGGCACAAAGCTCCATTTAGTGAATAATGGGAAGCTCTCTTAAATACCCCAACAAACATAAGTAACTGGCTGAGGAGAAACTGACAGGCTTAAATGTCTATATATATGCCTTTATATAAACATGAATACATTTAAAGTGATGGCTTAGCCAAAAATCAAATTTAAACAATTCTTCCCTTCATTTAAATGTAATTGTGGCTGGCAAGAAATTTAAGCTCATAGCGAACAGGTTAACTCCTATAAAACATATGCCTATATAAATACCGCATACCTATATACAAATGCATGTCCTCAAACTAGGGATGCCCTAAAATTTCTGGATCCGATTGATCAAAAGAGAGAAAACAACCCAAGTTTTTGACAAAAACTAACAAAGATGAAACAGGCCTACAACAACGTTTAAGACTTTACAAATAATTGCAGTGGTAATGAAAGAGAGAAAGTGGTTAAAAATGCAAGTTGCTCTCTTCGCATTCTAGTGCTGCATCAAACAGTTTGAGCAGCATATGTAGCCTACACACAGTAATAATTTATGTAATAGCTATTTTATTTTATGGTCAGTTTTCTCCAATTGTTGGCTCAGCGTTCAGGGGAAATTTAGTTTTGGAAAACAGTCATTTTGGTGCATCACAACCTCAAATCTTATTAGGGTGTTTGGTAATCTCCAGTAGACTTGTTAATGTGGTTTCTGACAAACAATAACTGCACAGCTAGAAACAGCACAAGCCGATTCCTCAATATCATGGCATGGTTTGAGGCAAGTACACAACGATTCAGACATGCAGTCTACATAGTGCTTAGCTGGCCATAAGCTTCCATTACTTAGCTATATTAACCTCATAGCTCCACTTTAAAAGTAAAAAAAAAACAAACTTCAGACAGCAAATAAAATAATCGACTGCATCCGGGGTAAAAGGATAATTCTGTAAATGTGATTTTTGGTTCAACCCTTTTTTTAAGGGTACATTAATATGTGTGTGGCCAAGAAGTTTCTTTGCCTTACCTGTTGGGGCTCCAGGGGATTGTGGGGGTGAGGCTGATGTCGGGGAAGAGGATGTTGTTGTCTCGGAGCCGGTCCAAAGCATAGTGCATTTCACACAGAGGCAGTCTGTTGAGCTGGAACTGCAGCTCCACCTAGCAGAGCACACAGGAACCTGATTAACGCTCCTAAATCACACCCACTAGTCTAATTCAGCCTGCAGTGTCTTTGTGTTCTTTTATATGTCTTTCAAACCTATGAGACTTCTAAGCAATTCAAAGAGCAATCATCTCTGAATGCAAGCTAATTTCTATGAGTCCTCACAACCTGTTCAATGTGCTTACTAGTGTGAGTGAACCCACGAACACCCCTAGCCAGAGGCTCATATGCAAAACAGCATGCATTAGAATCCACTAATGAGCCTTTTCAAATTATGCCAGGCAGCCATGAAGGATTCCAGGGGGATTCCACATGACAAAGAGGTTCGTTCCTCTAGCATTAATGCCGCTTAAGTACAGTAGTGGATGCGTGAGGCTGGAAGCTGCTGTAATGAATGGGATCTCTACGCTGCCTTTAAGAAGCAGGGCAGGGGTAATTTAGGCCAAAACCTGTCCTTTGGAGGCCAGCCTGCTAGGCGGATGGGGTTCGTTTATGACAAAAGGGCCCTGGGAGTCAGCCATCACAATTCAATTAGTGCTTCAAGCAACATCGGCTGCTTTTGAAGAGGGGAGAGCTTATTCTCAAACAAGCAGTTTTAGTGTGATACACAATTAAACAATGCCAAAATCTGCACTAAGTGTGCGCTAACAATTTAGACAGCAAAGAAGGGGAATTAAAGGACCCACATCATGGAAAACCAAAACTTCCTTGCTTTCTTAAAATAATAGTCTGGAGAGGCATGTAAACACTTAAAAGTTAAACACCATTCAGTGCCCAGTGCACAAAGTTCATATACAAAAGTTAAGCTGCAGAATCAGCCTCATATTGAATTCACTGTTTTTGTGATGTCATGAAAACTAAGGTTCCACTGATACTGATGCTGGCATTGAAGCACAGAAAAAGGTTTTGGCAAGAGAGAATACCAATACTGTAAAGCAACTGTTGACGCATGCACTCTAGTGAATGATGCGAAGATGCATCCATGCACACCAGTGGATGCAACTTAACTAAAGCAAGCAACACTTTGGTGGTGTGGCCGAACAAGCAGGAAAAAAAAATGCTCTTTACAAAATCTGTAACACCAGTATTTTGAGGGGAGATAATAGCAGTGGGCGATACACCAGTTGGAATTCTTCCCAAGGTCTTACTTTCATCAGTACGTCACAAATTAGCAACGCACATACAATGCAGAACACACCAACTGAAGCTCTTCACCTGAATGGCTGAGTCATAGATCTTACAGTAATCCTGCATCCAGTAGTCAGTTACAGTCTTAAGGTTGTTATTGAGGGAGTAAACATTAGAGAGGTATATGTTAAAACACCAGTCTTTTGGCATAACATTAGCCTTTAGCCTAGGATTAGCCTTTAGTATACCAGCTAGCCAGGCTCAAGTGTCCACTGTGGTGCATCTGTCTGCTGCATCAGACAACACCGCTGTCTCGCATCAAACCAAGAAAAATCCTGAAAACTGCTGCAAATTTTTTGTGAATATAAATTAATTAAAAAGTAGAACTGTATGCATATCATGATTTATAGGCTACTTAGATTAGGTATAGTTGGTAACGGTACTGCGCTTTGTCGGATTCTTAAGGATTAGGTAGCAGAATCACACATTCTCTATAGTGTGTGCAGAGTATGTGTGATTTCAGGCTTTACTGAGTCTAACCAAAGCTCAGTTAATTTAAGGACCATATGACTATCATAAAAATCATTATGCCAGCTCCTCTTCAGTTGCTCATCATACATCAGTTGTTCTATAGGTGGTAAGACATTTACTGAATAATGGCTTGAAAATTTGGTAACCGCATAATAAAATAACGCTAGACAAGACGGCAAAGTGTTATGACCATCACCAGCAGCTCAGCATGTTTTTTTTGTTTTTTTTTTTTTTGGACAAATATCGTGGTATACCAAGTACCCCAATGAAATGGCAGGAAGGTATTAAGGTATGAAGAAACAGATACCACCCAAGCTCTTCAGCTAACCATGGCTGTGCACAAGTCTCACTGCCGCAAACTGTGTCAGTTACATACACTTTTTATTACAGATCTGCATGCAGCACTACACTCTCAAGAATATTGAATTATCTGACATAATTCTGTTCCCTTTAGTGTTATTACTGTTCATGCTTAGCGAGTTAGCTAACTGGCAAATTGTACCAACCGCTAATGTTAATCTTCTAACCTGGGTTACACCCATTCCAAAAACCTACTGGATATTTTTGAATGATAAATATTTTCAACGGTTTCAATTTGGTCTACTTTTGGTACATAAACCCACACAAATGTCATAACTGTAAAAAAAAAAAACCCAAGTCTAACAAGAAGACAAAAGAAAAGTGCACTGTGAGGCTGCATGAGACGTGACTCATTCCAAGCACTAAACTCTTTGGACGTGCATCACCAATGGCTGATTAGCTTGCTCAAATATCTGACTGACAGGCTGATGTCTGACTGGCGCCCTAATCGCTGTCCCACCTGTAGCTCTCTGTCAGGTGCCAGACTGAGCTCCTCGCAGCAGTCCTTGCAGATGCGCAGGAAGATGTAGTCCTTGGTCTTCTCTTCTATCAGAGCCTCATAGACGCGCTCCTTGGTGCTGGTGGGCTGACCCTGGCCTGCCTGCTCCCGGCTCACAGGCAGCAGGAGCACAGAGTTCACCTTGGTCATTACCAATCTGCCAGCCAGCGTGTCCTCTGACAGCGTCTCTGCCAGTTTGAAGCGTGCAAACAGTTGCCCATTTTGAGCGTACTTGGCACCCCCAGAGATGCCAGTCAGCATGAAGCTGGAGACTAGCTGCAGATTCACCTTGATGTTGAACCTGGGAAAAAACAAAAAGGCTTTTAATATTGTGGCACTGACATACTACTGTCCATCATCTGGTTAAGCAACGCCTTCTCAAATAAGCAAAACAAGAGCGGCAAGGCTCAAAGGGCTTTTTTGTGGTAGTGGTGGTGGCTGTTTTATTCATTGTGGCATTGCTGTCACTACGCGTCAAAATACCTATGCTCCAAGCAGCCTGGCATGTTCTAAATGCCAAATCTCATCTGTGCTACAATGATGGCTTAGCAAAGCCTGCAGTAATCTAGTCTCTGAGAAGACACAGCACATTTCAGCTCATACTGACTGACATCTAAGTAGAATATTTTTGGAGAGTAAGAGTGATCTCCTACGCCACACTCCTACATTACTGCTGTTTAACGGCTGAAGACCAGATTCAACTTTATATTAAATATCAAACGATATTAAATGTGGCTGCGCTCCCATTTTTTTCTCTCATTACGTAACTTCAACTGCTTTCCTTACACGTACCCTTGGCAACTGAAAAATCACTAAAGCAGCAGCGCTCCTTACAAGCCATAAAGATCAACTGTGACCTCTAGTGGTTGGAACTGAGAGAAACCAAGCAAAAAAGGGCAGCATGTTGAAACGTTTTCCTCATTATAATTTTACAAAACATAAAATATTTCACTACTGGTAATCTTGATTGTAGGAAACTTGTGCCTCTCTTAAAATAACCACACTGGATTATTTTTGTCCTTTCCAGGAAGCTCATACTGCACAAACGCCAAGTGAAAGACCTCACTGAGGTAAAAAGTTCTCACTTGCTGACTTCCTTGTACTGAGCGATCTCCTCGATGTAGAGCAGGTCGTGGAGGCGCGACTGGTAGTTCTCACGAGTAAGAGACTTGTCCAGCACAGACTGTGTAAAGAGCTGGTCAGCAGAGAGTGGAATCTGATAACGGCTCAGCAGACTACGCTCCAGTTCCATGTTCTCACTGGGGACAAACTCCACAATAGTCTTGCAGGACGAATCCCAGCGCTTTGCTGTCATCAGGAGCTGCTGGCGGGCCTGCAACAAGTGTTCTAGGTCTGCAGGGCAAGCAAGAGCATTGCAAATGTCAGTCCCATGTATTCATAAAGTCTTTGAGCTAAATGTTATTTACAGACTACTCCAGCATTGTGGATTAATATTCTAATATTTTTTTGCAGCATGTCCACTTTTTGCGCATCGCTCCCCTAGACTTCACAACACATCAGACTAAACAGCTGCTGTATTCAGGAGGATTTTCTATTCCATATGTACGCTGTTTAAACACTGGCTGATTTTCCGTAGCATCTGTTTTGGTAGACTTTGTAAATAATAATGTGCAAAATCAGTACTTCTCTTTAATTTGAAGAGGTTGTATTTGACAATAATGCAGTGAACAGTGAACTGCAAGTAGCTGAGTCCAGTTTGGGCTGTTATTGAAAGACACTGCAGAGTGCACCAGAACTTTAAAACATTTTTTTAAGAGTGTGAAAACCTGTGAGATTTTCATTCACAGCCGCGAAACTGCAGCAAAGACAGAAGACAAAAAAGTAAAAAACTGGTAAACCTTTAGACTTCACAGCTATGTGTATGTAACTATTGATGTACAAGCCTAAAGTGGACAAACTGGCTGATTAGCTTAGCACCTATTAATAATTCGTAGCTCCCAACTGACGACAAACAGCTTAAGCTCAAATATTACTCACTGCTGCCCTCTAAAGCTGCCATGACACCAGTCAGAAGTTAGAACTTCTGTTGTTTTTTTAAGACTAATGATGACAATAAATGTGTTTTCTGCTTTCTTTTATTTACACGGATCTACCTCAACCCAATGGACGGAAACAACCAATTCACACCGTTTCTTACAATGCAAAAATTTGACTGTGAAAACTAAGAACTGTGGAAAATAAATGTAATCAGTGAAAATACTTGTCATCAGGCAATTATGTAATAATTGTGACAGGACTAACTGTCAATAACTGACAACTGACAATAACTGTCCACATTAATTATTTAAAAAAAGAACTAAAAAGACTTGTTGACTTGGAACTCGCTTATAATAGAAGCCAATGGGTTGCTCACTTCTTTGAATAAACTGGGGTTTCAAATAAATGACTGACATGTAAATTCAAAAACATTCTTCATTACACATCTATTACCCTCCAACAATACAGGCCTTAGGATGAGAGACATGGGAGAATGCTGTACAAAAGCTGTTCTTAAGTTTTACTCCACTTTCAAACACTGGAGCAACAGTATATCCAGTTACATTTGCTTAACTAATCCATGCCAAATAATGTCCATGGTAAATTAGCAGTTCTCTACAGGTGCAGCAGACAGAGATTAGCTAAAAAAAAAATGCTAGTGTTCCTTTTAAAGTAAGTAAAGAATAATCTCCTGTAGTGGACTCCGAATGTCACTGTACCTTCAATGGACGCTGCATCCACCATTACCCTCTGCATTAACACAGGTTCAGAGCCGAAGTCAAAGACCACAGTTTGCCGGAAGGTCCCAAAGATCTCGGTGCTGAAGGCCACCTCCACGGTGTAGAGGCAGTGATCCATGCCGTTCTGCACAAGGCCTGCTCCGCTCCACTCCTGACATCCGCCTTCACACACCTGCTGGGGCACCTGGGTGGAGGTGTCTCCCGCTGAAACAGCCATGATGGAAAAATGTGGCCTGTTGGCGTCGTACAGGAGGGCGATCCGGTGCAGGGTGCGAGCAGGCTGGGAACGTCAAGCAGAGGAGGGGGTTAGTCATATAGGGAGATCATCATGTAGGAAATGAGTCAGCTCTGTGGGCTTTACACCAAGGATAAGTCAAGGCACCAACAGATGATAACTAACCCTCCATCTCTTACTCAGTTCACTTTCAATTAAGGGACATTTAGAATGTAAGGCCCTAACACTTAAGCAAATGAGGATGGATATAAAATACATCCTGAAGAGGGGTGAAAAATATGCAGTGGGGTCCAGCTTTGAAAATCTAAGACTGTTTTAAATGAATCCTGTAAATAAACAACAGAATGAATGAAATACTGAAGATTCTACACTATTTCTAGCTCACTGTTCACATTTAAGCAAATGTGTGAAATGCCCATGTTAAGGCCTTGTGAAGTTACCATGTTAATGTCTTTGTTCAAAAAAGCTCATGTTCAGACAACTCTTAGGTGGATCTGATCTACTCATCAGAGGCTTCTCTCGCTGTTATTGATCAGAGTCTGTGCCAGCTCAAGTGCATGCTGTCATTAAAAAGCGGGACAAAAAGATGGACAAATACTAAGAAATTCTGACGTTTCTGTAAACTATTATGCTGAGAACATAATTTGTGATGAAAAAAACTGCATTAAATTAGAAAAGAACGACTTTTGGACCCCACTATATTTAGCAGCTGATAATTTAGCGCACTATTTTTTTTAACGCGTGTGCCATTCAACCCACTCAAACGGACAGGCAGAATAGTCTACAACACCATCACTCCAAACAACGAAGATCAAAGGTTCGATACCCTGTTCAGGCAGAGAGTGATTCAGCTAGACTCCTAATGTCACATTAGCCTGGGTTCTGGGTAATAAAATCGGATTTAGCTACGTCATGGCTACGTACATTTAATTAATGACTCATGTCTCCCCGAACTAAACTAGCATTAGACTAGCAGTTTCCACATAAATGCTCAATCCAACAGACAAGGAAATATGGGGTGAACCAAGGAGACTTATTAGGATTCACTGCTAGTTTAGGAGGCCTGCTTGCTCTAATGTTTCTGTTCTTCCTCTGCTCATTGCCGCTGTCCCCTTGAGCAAAGCACTTAACTCCACACAACTCAAGAAGTGCCACAATACAGCACCTCTGTGACCACCGGTCCCTGTCCCTTGCACAGTATTCACAATACACTTTCAATTGGTTAAAAAAAAAAAAGAATTAAAAAACAGAATTAAGATTTGCCCATGGTGTATCATTAATTAACTGGCAAGGAAAGTAAGTCATATATCTTAAGACGTCCTATTGCCTTGCTTTATTGACTGCTTGAGTTAATAAACAGTGGTTGGATTTAATCTGCTCAGATCATTGTTCAATCTTAGATCATCCCCTTTTCCTAAAGTTTGCTAAGTTGGATCAGCTGTAATGCTCCAGTAGTGCCATATCTAAAAATATCTTTTAAAAATGAAAAGTATACAACATTTCACAGATACACTACACTGAATTTAACAGGACAAATTATGCTCTCTTGTATATCATCAGGATTCAGACTTGCTGTCCTCCGACAATAGACTAAAACCTTAGACCAGGGGTCACTCACAGGCGGACCGCGGTCCAAGTCAGGACCCAGGCGCTGTCCTATGTGGACCTGGACCTATAACCGATAAACTATGGAGAATTATTTAATTTCGACGGGGTAGTCAATCGCATGTGTTGTAAATACACGCGTGACACTACTCAGCCAATCATATCTGTGCATTACGATGAGCACTGAGATTCGAGTGAGTGACGCACACACAGGGGAGGGATGAGATGAGAAACAGCAGTTGGAGAAGAAAGTGAGTCAGAGGGAAGTTATTTCACATGGCGTACTCTAAAAAGAGAAAACTGACAATAAACGTTGTTGAAATATTACTAAATTGTACTTTATTTGATTTGACATTCAGTTGTTGACTGTATAAGATGTTGATATAACTACTAGGCTACTTCAGTATACAGTATATGGCACTGAATCATAATGCAAGTTAGACATTATGATGTTCCGGACCTTTGCTTAAAGGAAATTTTCCTCTAACCAGACACTACTGAATTTTAATTAAAAACCCCTGCCTTATATGATTACCACTACAACAACGGGTGGTACAGCCAAAAATTGATAGAATTAAGTACAGTTATATATCACAGCATAGTGCATAAACAGAAATGAACAATATACAGATAGATGCCAATATTGCTTTGTAACCCCACTGAGATTAAGGTGAGTGCATGTAAAGCACAGAGCAGCTTCTCTGAGCCCAACAAAAGCTGCTGAATGTTGTTTTACATCTAAAAGTCTTGTCTCTCTTGCACTCAAGCTTTCATTTACAGCAGTCAGACACAGCTGGAACTTGGTAAATATTACAAGCTATTCAGGCTATTAGAACCTGCAGAGACTCTCAGCTTGTAGCCACAGAATCATCTAAAGCAGCTGGCAGAGTGAGGGGTGCTGTAGGTGGTATTCTACACGCTAGGCTAAAGGCTAACAGAGACCAGCGTCTCCTTCAACTCTCTTTTCCCTCTTTAACTCTCATTCTAATGTCTGCTTCTTCAACAACAAAGTGGACTAAGTTACCTCAGACTGCAACTCACTGCATGAGAGCTTGTTTTACATTGTACGTATGTTGTGTTATCTGCATTTAATTGCGGCATACGGGTATAACAGTAATGATAAAACTACCTTAAAAAGGATTTCAACCAGTATAGGAGAAGAACTGGTATATCGCCCACCACTGTCCACAACATGCTCAAAAAAGCTGATCTTGACATAATTTACCATGATCACGATACATATCCTTGCATTGTCCCTATTTCTGAATGGTGAAATTTACTATATACTAATGAGCCAGTTATTCTAAGAAAGTTGGTATTATGGGAAATATTTAAAAGCACTTACCTTGCAGTAAAGTGAGAACGTCCAGGAATGGGATGATTTTTTGGTGTTGACAGTGACTGACAGATCTGAGCTATGTTCCACTGTAACTCCATCCACACAGTCATTGAGCTACAAAGATATCAGAGGTAGGAGAAAAAAAAAAAAAAAAAAACACCTTGATCACACAGGTGGCATTTGATTCAAGAATTTCCTCAAAAGCATTGTGGTCTATTCTTTGCACCATCACAATCATATTTCAAAACTGCAGATTGTACTAAATAGTATGGTTGCTTTAACACTGAACTCTTTAAATGACTGTGAGGAAACGGTGTATGCAGTAACTAATCTTTGCTGAACAGCATACCACTTTCTCTGGACTAAGAGAGTTGATCCACTTCTCGATGAGCGCCTCCATGTAGTTTTCCGTGTAGTGCTTCCCTTCCTGCTGCTGCTTCAGGCGGATGAGTCTGGAGGCATAGCGCCGCTGCCACTCAGTCAGCTCCTCCTGAGAATGGGCTGATGTGCACTGAGCCCCGTACCGACACAGACCCTGCTCTAGAAACCTGCATAGAAAAACAGTTACACTTACACTTCCAACAATAACATCAGCTTCATAAAGATCTCCACTTCTTTATTATCGATTGTTTTAATTATGCATCAGTTTGAACTTGACCAGTGAGGTTGCCAATGCCTGGCCCAACCTATCAAAAATACGTTCTGTGGTCCATGTGAAAATCAATCATGTGAAAAACTTGTGCTGCAAGAACTTTACAAGAGTCTATCTAGAGTCAAAACAGGCAGATCAAGCACACACTACAGTTCTGACGTGCACTCAGTAATACATGCTCTGACACCAAAACTTCCTCGTTTGCTGCGATTCATCACTAAAACATGTTTCCACCTGCTATCCCAATTTTTGGACCACAGTTGTTTGGATCGGACCTGAACATGGGTGGAGTGTTCAAAGTCAAAAAAGACTAAACTAAAGAAAAATTTGGAGCAGTCCATACCAAACAAGGTAGGTGTAAAAGTGCCCCAAGCTCCTTTGACTGAACCGCTGAAAGGGTCCACTGAAAGTGTGAAAACACCCTTATAGAAACACAGCTACGGTCTAATATGCATACTTGTTTTCAGACAATAACTCTTAGCTAGGCCTGTCACAATCATTAAATTTTAGCTGATGAGTATTTGTTATACAAATTACTTCGATTAACAACTTAATTGTCTTTTCTTGTTTACTGTATGGAGCTTTTGAAGTACAAGCGTAAAGTGGCAAAACTGGTCAATTAGCTATCTTGCTTCTTAGCTCTAAAAACTTAGCAGTAGTAGACAAATGTCTACAGTTACAAAGAATCGTGTGGATTCCAGCAAATCTATGTTTTTCACTAGAGTGAAAAAAACAGCAAAAAAACAATTGCTAGTTTGCTAGTTTAAATGCTAAAACATTAGAACTAGCTACATGGCTAACAAATAAAGCAACTTTACTTAAGCTGCCCTCTTATCATGTAAGAGCACCAAGTTAGGGCTGATATTTTCTCTTCATGACTCAGTCGATGTTTCAATGAATGCATTTACTTTTTCCTTTTATTGACGTTTTTGCCTCAGCCTAATGCACATAATTCACATTAAAATCTAACAACTGTGAAAAATTATTTGGTCAGCCTAAATCAGAGTGTTCATCTCAAATAATTGCGATTAGGCCATTATGTTATAACTGTGACAGGCCTACACTTAGCTATGGTGTATAATTCTGGCTGCCAATTGCTGAAGTGCTTCAAACCGTTAGTAACAATTTGATCAATAAGTAATAATAAGTTATCCTTTATTAATCTCACAACAAGGAAATTCACCTCCGCATTTAATCCATTTGTGCAGTGAAACACCCACATACACACTAGCGAATGCACACACACCAGGAGGCAGTGAGCACACTTGCTCAGAGCAGTGGGCAGCCCTATCCACAGCACCTGGGAGCAGTTGGGGGTTAGGTGCTTTGCTCAAGGGCACTTCAGTCATGCCCTGTCAGCTCTGGGGATCGAACCAGCAACTTTCTGGTCACAAGGCTGGTTTCCCAACCTCCTGCCCACAACGGCCCCCTTAAATGTACTCGGAAGACATTTCCAGATTTCAGCAGTTATTTAGCCCCCCGACATAGAAGAGCACTGAATGGAGTATTAACATATGTCCTATGTAGTGTCTGACATCCTTCGATGTTAGCTACCTAACGACCAACAAGCTGACCAATGTTAGCCACATCCGCTGCTTGTAGTTAAGTATTTGGACCTCAATTTTCTGACTGTAGCAGACATTGAGATTTACACTTGCCAATGTTCGTCCAAGAATATTCCAGTTAATTATTATATATAAAACACAAGCTGTATAACACACACTAGCTGCATTATTAGTAGACCATTCAGAATACTAAAGACCTGCTCTCCAACCGTGCCAAGAAGAACATAGTTACGCTTCAATCCTGCTCTACAAACTTGTGCAGAGGAAACTAGAGATTAAACATAAGGTTCCACATAGTGATGCATTAAAACCCTGCTATAGAAATTAGAGAACAGGTTGCATCTTGCTCAAGAAATAAACTACTAAATCCAAGAAAATTTATTAGTGAACACTGATGACAAATTCTCACATACATCAGACCTTGCCTTAAAAGTCAACCAGAGGAAAAAAACCTCCTCTCAGTTACTGTAATTCTGTTAACTAAAAGAAAAGGTAACTCAAATTATACATCATACAAGCACAGAAACAGCAGGAAGGAGGTCAAGTGTACCTTTTGCACAATGTGTACTCCTCACTGCTAGTGACCCCTCGAGGCGGAGGCCGGAACTGCCAGCCCTCGAGAACATCTGCGCCGAATGCCACACGAACAAAGATTCAGAGAGTCAAAGGGGAAGAGAAAGAGAGACATAGTAAGTCAGTGCATACGCCCAAGCAGCCCTACGAGTCATAAGACCAGAGCTGAAAATGGACTTTTGATTTTTGATGTGAAACTGAAATGGTCAGTAGAAGAAACTCACCTTCCTCGCTCTCCTCCGGCAGCTCTGTCACCATCTTACTGTTTACGGCCTGCCATTCAAACATGCTTTATGACTCAAACTCATATTTCAAAATATTTCGAAAAAAGCCCCAAAAAACCACCCCACAGCCTTACAAAACTGAGTAAAACTAAATTAAAAACACTAGGATAGGTAGTGTCTTGCTCTGCATGACTAAAACGAAAGCGTAGAGAGAAAATGTTATGGCACATAGTCTGAGACTTGTTTAGACATGCCTCAATTGGCAGAACTCAATCTCTAGTACAGGATACAGATATAACCATTATGAAAGTAACATCAACTTACCTCAATTTCAGAGAGGAGTATTTTCAACCTCGTCATATCCTTAGCCACAATTCCATTCTTAAACAGATGGAGAGATTTGTTTTAGCCATCTAACAATATTTTACATCTAACAATATTACAACATTTTAGTTAGCTACCTAACCCAACAATTGACTAGAACCGTAAGTTTTCACATTTTCAGCTTTAATGCTCACTTTGAAACAGTCTGATACACTAATCAAAATTCAGAATGTTACCATTTAAACATCCAGAATCACCTGACAATCATTTTTAATTTCATCAACAACTTTTACAATGTAGATTTACACAAAGTTAATAAATGCATTTGATCATTAAATGATGCACAAACAGCTATGTTACATTTTCTGAGCTTCCTATAGTACATTTGAACTTTGTGAAGCGCAAAGAACTAGCATATTAGAATCATTTTATATATTTACCTGCAGTAAAACTACTAAACACATTGAGTGTGTATACATGAACTCAATAATCCGATCATAATCAGATTTCTGCAGTTATCCAAATATTCAAACGGTCATTTAAACACCATACTCCGATCTAGAAATCCGATTAAGAAATCTGATAAAGAGAGCTGGATTTTAGCTCTGTAATCAGATTTCTCAGTGCATGTATATTCGTACTTCGATTTCTACTGGATTTCTCAGTCTGCGCATGCGCGAGAACAAACGCTGGATGTCGCAAGATGGCTGCAAAACACTGTCGGAGTGGCGCTGAAACCAAACACGAAATAAAGGATTTAAATATTCTTCATCTTCTAGATGATGTAAGCTCATATTCTCAGGTAAAGTGGTGCGATGCTTGAAAAAAAGCTGCAGTATGAAGTTTGAGTTTTACATTATGTTTACGTCACGTCTCCTTCTGTGAGTCTACTGGCTGGTTGCAAAGCAGAAATCCGATTATTGCCTGACTCATGTGGACCCAGAGTTTCACCATTATCTGATTACTTAAGTGCATGTAAACGTGTTGATCAGATTACTGACAAAATCTGATTTTCTGCAGTTATCGGACTATTGAGTGCATGTAAACGCACTCAGTGATTTCAAACTTGTGAAAGTGATTACAAACTTTTGAACAGTACTGCAGTTCTAATAAGAAAAGAGAAGTAGGTTAATTTACCAGCGGTTCTCCATACAGCGCTTTCGAGAGAATGCTGAAGACCTCCTGTAGGCTTCCATCCAGCAACATGTTCTGAAGCCCAGCCCGGAAACTCCCCTCTCCCTTCCCCAACTCCTCAGCAAGCACTACAGAAAAAAACACAGACACATCAATTTAAGAGCAAACCTAGCTTCCAATACAACATCTCCTGGATTTGATAGCCACTAAATGATAGCCACTGCTGTTTCCTGAGGCAGGCCTGTCATTTTTTTTTTTTAATCGCAAAGCACCACCACAAAAAGCATGTTCAAAAAAATTGTGGGGTGATTCAAGCATTTTGCTAAATGATTTAAAAAATAAATCAAATGAATCCAGCACACCTCTGAAAAAACAACTTCAAAATCATTCTATACATTCACTATTCTCTGAACTTAGCAAGCTAGCTAGTGCTGCTCACTACAGACGGCTGGTTTTAGAAACAAACCATCTGCAGTACCAATAGGCAGAATTTTATAGTAAGGAAATGATTAGATGCTAGTCTAGCCATTTACAAAGTTAAAACTTCTATGCAGAACTCAAGGTGCATAGCACCAAGACTAGAGCACATCTGACCCGCATGCGGCCAATCATGCACTCTTCTACTGTCCAGTGTTCAGAATATACTGCCTAGTACAACATCTGATTATTTCTTTTTATCTCGTAGGTTGGCACTAGTCACTCTATGAACATTACAAGTTACAGGCTTAAGCTTCATGGGGACATTTCTTCAAAGGGAAACTCAAGTTAACTCACCATGCTTACAGTCCTCATCAGCTTGATCATAGTCCTTCTGTAGAAGTAAGATACACCAGACGTTATGCTCTAGCTCAGGAATGGGCGATTCTAGTCACAGAGGGCCACAGAACTGTCTAATGTTTACCCTACTCTAACAAAGCTGACTCAATTCATCATCTTAACTATGAAGCACTTGAAGAAGAAACCTCCAAACTGCATCGTGGCCCTTTGAGACTGGATGCCCAGTCTTTGCTCTAGCTTATTCAGTCTTGTTGTCAACATAAGGAAACATTCTGCATCCAAACCATTACCAGCTGTTTGGTTAAAAAATAAATAAATAAAATCCAAATGTCAATTGCTAGGCATTAGGTATTTATTAATTCAGATCTTGTGCACAATCCAAGGTACAGCAAATGTACCCAAGAATGACAAACTCTAAAACATAATAATGCACTTCAAAAGGACACGCTAATTTCTATGACCAAAGAAAATGCACGCTAGTAATCTTGAGCAGAGGAACTGGCACACTAGGAGCTCACCAGCTGGAGCAGGGCTGCAATCCGGTAGAGCAGAGCACGCCTGCGGAGGAGGGCCGTGTTGGGGGTTGGGGGGCACGGCGCTAAGGCCAGCAGGGCCTCCGTGCTGTGGGCCACCGCCGCCTCATACTCCCGCCTCACTAATGATCCAATGGCTTCTTCACATGACTTCTGTGGCCTCCTGTCCTCCATGACTCTGGGACAGAGTGTCTGTTTATAGGGAGGGGGACATACGTAAAGTTCTAAGTTCAGTCTAGCAACACCACAGACCTGCACAGTTTGGAGATGTTCCCTGCTCTCAAAAGCAAAGTATCAAGCTATTCATGAGCCAAAATATGAAGTCATGGAGTCCACAAAGTCAACACTTGTAGTTTGTGGTCTTGCTTAAGTGCACAGTTCAGCTGTGTATTTCCAAACTTAGAAAAAAAGCACTTATTAAGACCACCAGTGTGCAGATACGTATCGCATCTTTGTGGGACAGTTAGTCACTAACAACAAACATGTTAGAACATCACCAAGGCACTGAAATGTGGGATATACACTTGAGGGATATCAACTATATACTGTAAGTATGAACTATGGGACAGACAGTATAACTGCATTTTGATATCACTAGTTAAAGAATTCGACGAAGGCATATCATGAAGTATTCTATTGTGGCTCATGGTGGGCTACTTTTAATGCACAATTAAAGTACGCAATTTAGGAATGATCTAGGCCAAGAGGACGCCTGTTTGGTTGACAGCAAAAACATGTATCCAGAAAAAACCCATACCAGAACAGTCACTGTAATAGTCTGATGTCATTCTTTAATAAAAGAGATTAAAAATTATAACTGATCATTTCTTTAAAGAAAGGTAATACCCAAACAGCTGAACATATGCATGTTTTCAGATAATGTCCAGCATATATAAAAGTCAAGAGTGGTCATATTAATATTTTATTCATACTTCTGGTATTCATGCCATGCCTAACGTCAGAGTACACAGCTGTTGTGGACCAACTGATGTGAAGTCATGAGGCCTCAGAGTAGATGTCTTGAACAAAAGACTGAAGTCATTTTTCCCTTTTCCATAATAATTAGGTCGCAACTGCAATTTCCAGCTGGACTCAGTCGGAGTATAACCACATCTCTCCAACTAGTTTTCCACATTTTCCAGCCTGAAACAAGCAAATCAGGAATGCTCCACAAATCACCATCATAAACTACATATTTAATATTTTTCAGTCCAGTTTTCTATAGAACACCATGCTTTAACTGGATTACATACACATAGCCCAAACAGCAATATTGTTTAAACTTGAAAACCTGAAATGTACATTATAAAAAGGCACTACAGCTTGTACAATCATAAGTAAAATAAGATTAAATCAAGGTCAGCCAAAAAAAAAATAAAAAAAAAAATTCAGGGCCGGCCCTTTTTAAGGGAACTATACCTTCCCTCATAAAGTAAGGCGAGCTAAGAGCTAAGGTGAGCTGTGTGCTAGCAAAGTTTTATGGCAGCTATCAAAAAGCAACTGATAAAATTTTATATTACAATATTTTCCAAATACTATGCCATTGCAGTTTTACATTACTTCACTTTGCATTAATAAAGTTAAAGAACCCATGCTTCCTGAGTACAGGTACTCTACACTAAAAGAATCTCTCATCTCAAGCTTGTTCTGTTTTCTTCTCACCGAAGGGAAGCTTACACAGAATTGGAAATGTTAAACATGACATGACAGAAAGTGAACTTTCTATTTATTTTGTTCTTTAGTCTTTAGAACTGTTCTTTCAAAACAATCTGAAACCCCCAGCACATGATATACAATGTAATTAACTGTCAGGTCTTGGAGATCGCATGTAAAGTGCACAAACCTAAAAACAAACTATTTGGCAAGATACTACTATTTTAAGTCACAGTCATGGACAGAATAATAGAATGTTACAATGCTCATTATCTGTAAATACCTTTAAAGGAAAACCTTGGCAAAAACACAGCATGCCTTACTGTGAACTATAAAATAAACAAAACTGTAGCTGAATGCTGAGGGCACTCTTTTAAAACAACACTGGTGTTGTACAGAACTGCCTAACTGTGCCTGCAGTGTTCGGCTACATGGCGAAGTTTTGTTCCTTTTTGCAGTTCACAGTAAGTCATACTGTGCCCTAAACCACACTGACAAGTCTGCATGACCTTAATGAGGGGCTGGATGTGGTTTGTGCAGATTAAGACACGTTTTGGGCATGCATTTAAAAAGATTTGGGTGACTATTGACTTTGTGTTTGTTAGCAAGGATAGCCTCATAGATCCAGTTTAGAAGTGAAGAAGCAAATGGCTGATGGACTACGTCCAGGGTAAGGAGACCGTTTCTGAATTTACAGAACATCAATGTTGGTCAATATCACGGTATATCGGCGTAGACGATCTATTGCCCAGCGCTAAGTACATAAACAAACTATAACATGCACGTGCGCACCGCGCATCTAATCAAGCCCGATCACACCAAAAAAGGCAACACAAGAGACTTAGAAAAATATAAACAGCCTATCTTTGGATTCCGGGTCAGTTAATAATAGATGTCCCGTCTGAGTGTATGTGTGTGTGGGCGTGTGTGTGTTGCATGTCCATCAAGTGCAAGAGAAAAAAAAACAACTACTAACATTAGCCTTACTGTACCACGACGCAAAACAGGCGAATCGACAACAACGTATCAGCAGACAGCCACACACCGACACACTCAACGTTAGTCCCGAATCACCCAGCAGCGCAGACCGCTACTTATAAACTATTTGACTATTTGCATTGCAACTCCACTATGCAGGGCGGCCCGAGGTAGGATGGAGTCTTGGCTCCTTTTAGAGCTTCGTGTTTTTCCTCCCTCAAGCTTCTGAGCAGTTCTCTCTCACTATAGCTCTGCTCTGGAAGTCTGGACCTGAATTTCTGCAAATAGGGCTGCTTTAGGACAACGTCTGTTGCATAAAGCGTTATGCAAGTAAATGCTGAACTGAACTGAACCGTTAACGCTACAGTTCTCACACTTTCGCCTCCTTTCCTTTCTGAGCCCAATAAAGTGCTGCTGGTTAAGCAGCACCGCAGCTCTCAAGCTCCGCTTCGGCTTAACCGCGACGTCGCCGGTCGGTCTGCGGGCTGTAGCTGGCTGCTTCTCACGGCCTTGAGCTACAGACGCCCCCGAAAGCCCTGTTCGCACAACGCCAAGCACTGAACACCAAAATGTCCACACTATACAACCAGCTGATACCTTCTACGCCACCATAAACAAGCCAGCAAAAGATACAGCACCGTTAACTCAGAGGTTGTCGGGCAGACGAGTCAGCTAGTGGCTTTAGCGAGGGAGCTAACGCTATGTAGCCTGCTCGGAGGGTCGCGGCTAAGGCCCTTATTGTGCTGCGAAAGCTCCTGCGCAGGAGAGCAGCGCTCGTTTGGGTTTTCTCACACGTACAGTGAGCTACCGTCTATAATTTCGTCCGAGAACCGAGACGAGTCACCGGTTCCTAATGTTTGAGAGGCGCACGGATGAAAAGGTGTAGGAGGAAGTCTGCGCTTACCTAGCTTTACTTTCTACGCCATCTTGGATCCACTTGTCAGCCTATCGCACGGCATGATGGTCAAATAGTTCTGCGCCCGGCTTCCTGGAACTGCTACCAGCACAACAGAGCAGCAGAAATGTGTTCAAGAACGCTGTGGCCTGCGCTGTGGCGGGACTCTTCTCCTTCAGAAGAGCAAATGTGAGGAGTGCTGAGTTAAAATATCCCTGTGGAAGACCTGTATGTTAAACGGGAATTCAGCTGAGTTTTCAAAATATCTGCATAATTAAATGGTTGAGATGTAAACAAAGTTGTGGTTTGGTGTGAAACGCTCCGTTACAGAGAAACGGATGAACTGTTCACAGTGGTGCTGATAGGAACCAGACGCCTGCAGTGTTTAAAGCCTCTAAAAGTTCCCTCACGGAGAGTTATTACATTATATGGGTATGAATACGCTGCCTGATGTCTGAGACATTGTTTCACAAAAGTTTTGCGGTAAGGATTTGGCCTAAAAGGTACATTTTTAAAAGCTATTCGTGGCAGAGGGGTACATGTAGGGCGTCGTGAGGCAAAATAGCTCCCAATAAAACTTACTTTACCTTTATCAGCAACACATAAAATATCAGAAAACACATGAAGGTTCACTGGTGGTTTTGAATAGTAAATAAAATAGCAATTTTTGCATCGCACATATCGCATCCCCCGGTTCCTATCGGCACCACTGTAAAGAAATCTAAATTCTGCTCTGAATGACTTTGTTTACATCTTAATGACTGAATTACACAGAAATTTAGAAACACTGGTGGGATTCCCCTTTAAACGCATTGAACTGGTCATTCAGATGACTCACGTTGGCTTTTCTCTTCAGGCAGCGTAGGTTTGTTGTGTGCATAAGCAGCACAGAAACTTACATTTCTTGGCGTCCAAATTCTGAGAAGTTAACAGGTTCAAAACTGACCTACAAGCTACCTCAGGACATAACATGGGGCCTCAACATCTGCTTAAAGGAAAATTCAACGCTTTTTTCATGTTTCTGCATAATGAAATATGAAGTCAGTCTGGTTTGATGTGAAATGCTTCATGGTAGAGAAATCTAACTGATTTCTTTACAGTGGCAATAGGAACCGAGGGTCATAGAATCTAAAATGCAAATATAACCATTTATTTACAATCCAAAACACCATTTAACCTACACATGGCTTCTGTTTTCTTTGAGTATTATTTTTGCTCCACAGTGCCCTGCATGTACCTCTCCACCATGAATGGCTTTAACTAAATACATTTTAGGCCTAAATCCCATCTCACAACTATTGTAAAACCATGCTTCAGGCAGCATGTAAGTAACCATGCTGTGTAATAGTATAATTTCTGTGTTGTAGGTTTAACAGGCATTAGATGATTCAGACATCTGGTTTCTCTCACCACTTCTGTAACCAATTCTGACAAGGGAAGTTTCTCTACAATAGTGTATTTCACATCTGAATGAGTTTGTTTACATCTTAACAATTTAATTATGCAGATTTTGAAAAAAACATGCGGTTCCTTTTTAAAGAGCCAGAATTTATTTTTTAATCTGTGGTTTTACACTTCTAACATGAGATGCGGTCTCAGATTTAAACAAAGCAGTTATACTTTTATGCAATTCAGATGTAATTTAGACCAGACATGCTTGTAGTTTCTAATTCATTGTTACAGAATAAAAGCTGTGAAAGTGACTAGGAATGGTTCACAGACAAAATAAAGATAAATTCTTGCATCTAGGCAGAATGTCTTTGGTTAAACTAAGTCAGCAAACATGCTGATCTTTGATGCGCTTTCCTGCGACAGTCACACTCAATCAGGTCCAAAGGTTTGAATAGTCTCGAGTTCTCTTGAAGAAGTCATTTTTTCACATTTAAAAAAAACCTTGAGCTATGTCACCATGTCTGCCAGGATATTGTGGAGCTGGGCATGAGTCCTTATCTCGATCAGCAACCTTCCCTTCTCCAGGAAAAATCACCCTCTGAGAGCCGTGGAATTTCAAAAACAGAAGAATAAGAGAGAAACTCAACATACATATCACAGGCCTCATGGAGACATACAGCTAAAGAAATATTTTCTCAAGTCTTGCGTAATGAATAGATAAATGTGCATTTATATAAGGGCTAATAGTAGCGATGGTAGGCTATATTCATGATCATGTAGAATATAATGATTAGCACAAAAACATTATTTGTTATATGGGAATTAATGAGATACAGTTTTCACTCCCATTAACACTTAATAATTAATTGTTATAAATTGCATTGCGCTAAAACTAAATGGAAATGAATGAAAAAATATGTTGTACTTAACCCACTTAAAAGTCATTCCAAACTTAAGCGGCATTTTGAGGAAGATGACCTCTTGAGAAAAAAGGCGGATCTCTTAATCTACTGTTTATGTTTGTGTGGGATCATTTATACACACACAAAGTTTTAAAGACATGTATATATAATGGAGTTCCAATCATTAGCATCTGATTAGTTGCACCTGATATGAAGTTGACACATTTGACATATATATATATATATATATATATATATATGTATATATATATATATATATATATATATATATATATATATATATATATATATATATGTATATGTATATATATATATATATATGTATGTATATATATATATATAAAACCTTACTGAATCAAATTTTCTTTACAGTTGTGGTGACAGGAACCATGCCCACAATGTTTATAATGCAATATAGACATTTTATTTACTATCCAAAACAATCTGGAGTTTTAATATGTACTGTTGATAAAGATTAAATATAGGGATGCATACTGATATTGGAATCATCTCAGTATCGGCATCAGACAGGTGTTTAGAGTTGACCAATATTTGAAGAAGTATTCATTATTCTCTGCAGATCAGACAGGCCTGAAAGCCTTTATGAAGAAAGATGAAAAACAATGAAAAGATGAGACTTCAGCTCAACATGAAGAAAACAAAGGTTATGACAATGGGAAAGACTGCTAACTTTACACATGATGGTGAAGATGTAGAAGCGGTGGATGGCTTTTGTTCTACTCAAATTAATTATTAACAGAATCCAGCAGTTAAAAAATACAACACAGATTGGCACGCGGCAGAAATAAGATGAAGGAGCTTCAAAGATCTTCAAAAGTAATGATGTCTTTTTAAACGAAGATCAGATTTTCCTTTGGTTCTTTATGTATGTGAAAGCTAGACAATTAAAAAGATTGAACCAAAAAAAATGATGCTTTTAACTTTGGTGCTGGTGAAGAGAAACAAGTCTCACTTGAAACCACAGATAACTAAACCGAAACGTAGTTTTGGACATAATATGAGATGAACGAGTTCATTGGAAAAGACAATTATGCTTGGAACAGTTGAAGGTAAAAGAGAAAGAGGATGGCCAGCAACAAGACAAGATGGATGGAGAGAGTCAGGGAAATCATAAACAAGCCATTAAGAAGCTTAAAAACCCAAACGGAAGACAGTATATTCTGTAGAAACACTATCCATATATCCAATTGACTTGATGGCACTTAATAATAATAAATATAAATATATTTATAAATATATAAATAAATATGATGTGTAAACAAAAAAAGGAGAAATTTTTATTTACTATATTTAAAAAATGATAAACAGGCAAAAATCCCTCTCTCTGTTGTGATGATGTCACCTGGTTGCAGTGGAGTGGAGAAAGTAAGATAATCGAAAAGTTCTCCTCTTGGATAATATTACACTCTAGCTAAAGTTGGAAAGATGAATGATATATTTGAGGTAAATTAGATCTTTCGCTTGCTGTTCCTTCCTCAGTGGAAAAGAGAGAGAACAACTATTTGATGGTGCCACAAAAATGACAACTTACTCGCAGAGGAATTTTGTCTATTTTGAATAATAAACCAGGTATTCTGCTTAGTTTATATGACATATTTAAAAAGTACTGGACAGGAGCATTGCCTGGCCTGGGTTTCTGGGGCTACTATAGCCCTAAATGTTTTTTAGCCAGCCCCGAACTGTAGAATGTTACACAAGGGCACGTTCACCACTCCTCAGATTCTGAGAGAGAAGGACAGTGAGAGATCATACATGCACGAGAGACAGAATGCAGGGGAGAAAATGCATGAGTGCCTGAAATTTCTGCAAATAAATGGCAAATGCACTACACTGTACAACAATAATCATTTTAACTCAGAAATGTAGGTCTAAGTAAATTAACTCTTGATTTAAAGTATAATAAAATTAAAGAATTTAGGCAGCCCGGTTATTTACTATTGTAAGTTGAAACTCCAAATAAATTTTTACAGTGTATGCAAAAATCACTCATTTGGATGAGACTCCAACCCAAGCCTTATGTTCAAATACATGGTTTTAGGCAAGATGAGTTTTACTGAATGACTATGTTGCTTTGGATAAAATGTTAATCTTTCAGCAGGACATTAGTGAGGAGATGTGTAGAGGAGCTGGTTGATGTGGAGAGAGAGGAAATGTGCAGAGGACTTTAATAATGGAGCAACTTAGTTTAACAACACTCTGTAAGCATTTGGGAACTGAGGAGACCAGCTGCTGTAGTTGAAAGTGAAAAGTCCTTTCCTCATTGCTTGATATAGGATTTTAACTGCTCAACATTTCGGGGTGTCCTTTGTTATATTTTTCATTTCATAATGTGCCAAATGTTTTCAGTGGGTGACCATTGCCATGTTGTTGTGATACTTGCGGAATGTGGTTTGACATTGTCTTGCTGAAATAAGCAAGGCCTTCCCTGAAAAAGACGTTGCCTGGATGGCAGCATTTGTTGCTCCAAAACCTGTATATATCACTCAGCATTAATGGTGCTTTTACAGATGTGCAAGTCACCCATGCTATGTACACTAATGCATCCCTATACCATCATAGATGCTGGCTTTTGAACTGTGTGCTGATAACAAGCCGGATGGTCTCTCTTCTCTTTAGGTCGGAGGATGCAGCGTCCATGATTTCCAAACAGAATTTCAAATGTTGATACGTCGGACCACAGGACACTTTTCCACTTTGACTAAGTCCATCCTTAATGAGCTCGAGCCCAGAGAAGGTGGTGGCGTTTCTGGATCCTGTTTATATATGGTTTCTTCTT